AGATATTAAGATACAAATATTATTTTTAGTATACAAATGTTAATTTTAGTATACACGTTGATTTTAGTATACAAATGTTAATTTTAGTATACAAATATAGTACAGTATACAAATGTTAATTTTAGTATACATGTAGTACAGTATACAAATATAGTACAGTATACAAATGTAGTACAGTATACAAATGTAGTACAGTATACAAATGTAGTACAGTATACAAATGTTAATTTTAGTATACAAATGTTAATCTTAGTATACAAATGCTATTCCAGCTAAGCGCCATTTTGATATTTTGTTTTCAGCGTGAGTGTCTCTCTATCCATGTGGGCCAGGCCGGTTGTCAGATGGGCAATGCATGTTGGGAGTTGTACTGTTTAGAACATGGTATCCAGCCTGATGGTCAGATGCCATCGGATAAAACTATTGGAGGTGGAGACGATTCCTTCAATACTTTCTTCAGTGAAACAGGAGCTGGTAAACATGTACCTAGAGCTATCTTTGTAGATCTGGAACCTAGTGTTGTTGGTAAGTAAATTCTGTACCTTTCTTTCAGAAAAGTGTCTATATCGTTGCGAAGCTTTGAAATTTGTAAGATATGTTTCTGGATATGTTGTCAGCTTTTATCTTAACATTCAAGATGCTATATAACGAATCCCTGATAGGATGTACATGCTTAGTAAATTAATGTATGGTGTTTTGCATGACAGGGGCCTTGGAAGAAACATCGGCTAGTCTGAGAATAATCTGTGAAGCCGGGGCCTGGTGTTATTGATCAAACGTACATCCATCAATTGGGCGGGTGGATGGGTAACTTGACCGGCCATCCAATTCAATATTCCAACGATCGCTGAACACAAATGAAAGTAATCATATTTCTATGTTGTTTCAGATGAAGTACGAACTGGTACATACCGTCAACTGTTCCACCCTGAACAACTCATCACTGGCAAAGAAGATGCAGCCAACAACTACGCTCGAGGTCACTACACTGTCGGTAAAGAAATCGTTGATTTGGTCCTTGACAAAATCAGAAGATTAGCTGATAGTTGCACTGGTCTTCAAGGTTTCCTCATCTTCCATAGCTTCGGTGGAGGAACCGGTTCTGGTTTTACATCCCTGCTCCTTGAGAGATTAAGTGTAGATTATGGCAAGAAATCTAAACTCGAATTCGCCATTTACCCAGCTCCCCAGATATCCACTGCCGTGGTTGAACCATACAACGCTATTCTCACCACCCATACAACGCTGGAACATTCAGATGTAGCTTTCATGGTTGACAACGAAGCTATTTACGACATTTGTCGACGTAACCTTGACATTGGTAGACCAACTTACACCAACCTCAACCGAATCATCGCACAGGTTGTTAGTTCTATCACGGCTTCTCTTCGATTTGATGGCGCCCTGAATGTTGATTTAACTGAATTCCAGACCAACTTGGTGCCTTATCCTCGGATACATTTCCCACTTGCTACGTATGCGCCTACCATATCTGCTGAGAAGGCTTATCATGAACAACTAACTGTTGCTGAACTTACAAATGCTTGTTTCGAACCAGCGAACTCCATGGTAAAATGCGATCCTCGCCATGGAAAGTACATGGCTTGTTGTATGTTGTACCGTGGGGACGTTGTACCTAAAGATGTTAATGCTGCCATTGCTACCATTAAAACTAAGAGAACCATCCAGTTTGTGGACTGGTGTCCAACAGGTTTTAAAGTGGGTATCAACTACCAACCACCAACTGTTGTACCAGGAGGTGATTTAGCCAAGGTTCAGAGAGCAGTTTGCATGTTGAGCAACACCACAGCCATTGCTGAAGCCTGGGCTCGTCTAGATCATAAATTTGATCTGATGTATGCTAAGAGAGCTTTCGTCCACTGGTATGTTGGTGAAGGTATGGAAGAAGGTGAATTCTCTGAAGCTAGAGAAGATTTAGCTGCCTTGGAGAAAGATTATGAGGAAGTTGGGGTTGACGGAGGTGACGATGCTGGAGAAGAAGAAGATGAATATTAAAATGTGTATGCTTACTATTAGTTGGCTATGTTAATTACCATATTTGGACCAAACCGAATGCAGAACTCATGGCTGTAATATCTCTCACACAGATGAAACCAGTTACAAATTATATTCCAGATTCATTCCCTAAATTCATTTGCCCACAAGTCGGAGCAGAACAGTAGGACGTTAAACTCCATTTCATTTCATTCGCCTACATAATTTAAAGTGTTAAAATGCATGGTAATTTAACCCAAATTCAATAGTCAAGCCCTTATCACTATCCGTCCATCATATGTTCAACATATTTTACGAAATATAATAAATATATCAAAATAAATTTCTGTGTCAGTACTTTCATGAAATAGACCGGAGGCTCAGTACGGGAGGGGGGGGGGGCATCAAATGAGTACAAAACATTTGAATAGTGGACTACTCGAAACCTTATCTTGTCTCAAAATTAGTAAATTCTTGTGTTAAAAACTGTTTAATCGCGGTTAAAGCTGTGTTTTAAATGGAAGAGGCACAATGGCCCGGGATCTGTTTCATCAAAGGCAGACAGCATGGTTCATGCTCTAACTCGTCCAAGGGAGGGACATTGGTTCGTGTCCTGTTTTATCTATCAGAGGGACCACGGTTCAAGCTCAATTTCATCTAAAAGGGGGAGGGCATGATCGATGCTGTTTCATTCAAGGTGGACAGCAGGGGTCAACCTCTGTTTCATCAAACGGAGGGGCCATGGTCCACGCTCTGTTTCATCCAACGGAGAATAGTTGGACGTTCATGCGATGTTTCATCTTAGTGAGACAGACTGGTTCATGCCCTGTTTCATGGAAAGGCGGGGCTATGGTTCGTGCTCTGTTTCATATAAGAGAGGGAACATAGTTTATGCTCTGTTCCATCTATGGGAGAGACCATAGTCCATGTTCTGTTTATCTAAGGGAGAGACCATGGTCGATGCTCTGTTTATCTAAGGGAGAGGCCATGCTCCATGCTCTATGCTCTGTTTATTTATGTCCCTCCCATCTGACGCTCCTAAAGTGGGTGCCCCGAATAGGGCCAGGTCCGGGGTATCTGGCATGACACCAAGTATATCTTTGGCGCAACTAGAACGTTAACACCATCAACTATAATCATTGTCTATATATTGTAAGCAAATAAACCGGGGGGGGGGGGGGAGAGATACCTCCTATAAGTTGGTACATAAGGGTATTCACGTCTTTGTAAGTAATGAACGGAATTGAGAAATATTTAAGCTAATTCCTATTAGAGATTCAACATTAATTAAAGGGGCATTATGTAAGATTTAGATAAACAGCAGGCCGTTCTCGCTATAATATTTCAAAAATAGATAATGCAAATTGAATATATTGAAAATTTCATTCAAATTACTTTATTTTGAGTGAATTTATCAATGTTTGTAGTTTTGACAAGATGTGTGCATTGATCGTAACCATTGTACAGGCCATTCGAGTCTTAGCCTCGTTTCTCCATTTTGAAATCAAATCATTAAATGACCGAACTGTTCTAATAATCTTAAAATCCTAGCCATCTGAAGAAATCGAGAGTTGATTATGGTCTTGGCATGTTAATAAATGTCTAATTAATAGTTTATATAACATTTAAGGCCCAGAGACCTGCAATAGACAGATTTAGCTCCTACATAATTCCTGTGTATAACAATATTCTACTTTACAAGGGATTCCTTTATCACTCAAATCGGGGGGTCGGGGGGTGGGGGTGGGGGGTGGTCGAATGGCTAACGCGTGTGTGTTGCATCATACGGTCGTTCATTGAATCAAGTGGCGTGGTTTCGATTCACTGCTGCTACGTAAAGGGTCGCCTGTCCAACCTAATGGGTTTTCTCTGTGTCCTCCGGTTTCCGCCCACTGCTAAAGACCCCTACATACAAGCGAATTAATGATATACAATTAAACAATATGTTAGTCCCGAAATGACCTAGTTTGTGTCGGTCGAGTGGACGTTAAACCATCTCTCTTTTGCTTGTATTATACTATAAAATGACAATTCCTATTCATTCTACTTTTTTACGCTAAGAGACTTTAACATATATACTCAATTTAATGATTCGGAAGGAATAGTATGTAAAATTAAAAATAAAAATACGCGACGTCGTGAAATGTGGTACAAGATTGTTCCGTCTTCATTAGCCCTGTCAGTACATAAAAGTGGGACGTTATACCCCATTTCATTTGTTTATGGCGTTGCGGTGTTACAAGACCTTTTACAGATCTGTTGTTTTGTTTAAGGCGTTGCTGTGTTACAGGGCATTTTGCTGTTTGCTAAATTCAGACAAATGTAATTAAAGAGACATACCGCTTAAAATAAACCCATTCTGCTGGAAAGATTACAGAATGTTGCCCCTAAATCTTACTGGGGGTTAACTTGATTTAATTCAAACTGTAACTTGAGTAACATCAAATTTAATGAAAAAGGGAAATCAACGCAGTAACGTTCATTTAACCTTAAATATTATAGTTCATATTTATTGATCACATATCTATTGATGATTCTGGTTTGTACACTGTATCTAACAACACAATGATGGCGGGATGAAGATGCCGTGCGTTGTTAGGTTGGGTTAACTGCACCAATCACTTAGACAATGGAAGACTAGATACGAGATGCGCGTCTGGCGGGTTTCATCAGTTTATTGAATTATCTAAATCCGGGTAATCATGGGTCGGGCTTCAAACTGGTCGACCTCAAAGCCTATGTATTTCACACAACAGTTATAATATTTGAACCAAAACAAAATGTGAAAGCCTAATAATACGACTATAAAGACCAAGGCAACGTTAACTCGATCAATGACGACTGATAGTTTAATGGAAACACAAAATGTGTTTGTTGGTTCAATTAACGTAAAGAGAAAATCCAACGAAGCATGTCCTGTCACCTGACATATATTATTTTTAAAAAATCAATCAGTAATAACCATGACAACCGTTTATTGTATATGCAGGTGATAAATACAGATGCCACGCGACACGGCATCACACAGAGATCTTGTTGGTCATCATATCGACATCATCTCCAAACGATTTTGTTTATCGTAAACTGTTGTGATTTAGCCGAATATTTTATATTTTTATCATGGTAAGACGAGATTTTTAATTCATTCTATTATTAAGATTATATATTCATATTTACCTGTAGTTATAAGAGAATATTTAGACACATTCTTGTGAGAGCATATGGGCTCAGTGGGAAGGGGGCTGCCGCCAAAATTAGGCGTAGTTTTCCCTTGTCAGTGGTTCAGGACGAAGGGTTTGGTAAGGAGCAGCGTCCCATGTACACGTCGGAGTATACGTTGATGTACACATCGATGTACACGTTGGCGTACACGTTGATGTACACGTTGGCTTACATGATGGCGTACACGTTGATGTATACGTTGACGTACAGGTTGATGTACGCGTTGGCGTATACGCTGATGTACACGTTGGCTTACATGATGGCGCACACGTTGATGTACACGTTGGCGTAAACGTTGACGGTTGAAATTCGATGAAGAGTAAACGGTAGCACTTTCCGGGCAAATTGTTCTTTATTTCACACCTGGAACCTCGCTAACCTAGAGGTCGTGTTCAAACCCTGCTTTGGCCGAGGAAGTTCAATGGTATTTTCCGGCATGGTCCCCCCCCCCTTGTCAGTGCTGTCAGTGCTGTGGGAAATATGGCCTGATAAGGGACGATGTCAAATCCTTCGGGTGGGACGAAATACCGTGATCCGGTGTAAATATTAGCGTGCACGTAAATGATCCCTTGGCAGTTTGAATTCGATGTAAGAGTAGACCATTACGCCGTTGTCAGGGCAAAACATTCCCTCATAGTAGCCTGTATGGCGTATGCCAATCTTCATTTGCGCTGTCGAATCTGAACAGTGGGTTGTTAAACACTATTTCATTTCATTTGTCATTCCATTTTAATCAGTTGTACGGACGGTCCGAAAGTCATTTCGTAAATTATAAAAGTTGTTATTGGCTTAGTCCTTTATATTGTCCACTTTTTGCTCTGTCAAAGATATTATGATTACAATTTCGGGTGCACCTTGAGTTCACATATCTACAAAAAAGGTTTTTCAGCCATTATTTCTTCCTAGAACTGCTTTTCCTAAAATGCGTCCTATTCTTAGAGATTAAATGAACTTGTCGTGAATCACTGGTGAATTACGTTCAACGCCATTTTTACATTTTGTTTTCAGCGTGAGTGTATTTCTATCCATGTCGGTCAGGCCGGATGTCAGATGGGCAATGCATGTTGGGAGTTGTACTGTTTAGAACATGGTATCCAGCCTGATGGTCAGATGCCATCAGATAAAACTATTGGAGGTGGAGACGATTCCTTCAATACTTTCTTCAGTGAAACAGGAGCTGGTAAACATGTACCTAGAGCTATCTTTGTAGATCTGGAACCTAGTGTTGTTGGTAAGTAAATAATACATTTATAACACTGACGTAGACTAGCGGAAAATGCCGTAGCATAGTGGAAAATGTCGTAGCCTAGCGGACACTGGCGGAGTCTAGTGGAAACTGACAGAGCTTAGCGGAAACTGACGGAGCCTAGTGGACACTGACGGAGCCTAGCGGAAAATATCGTAGCCTAGCGGCCACTGGCGGGGTCTAGTGGACACTGGCGGAGCCTAGCGGAAACTGTCGGAGTCTAGCGGAAACTGACGGAGCCTAACGGAAACTAGAATATCCGGGCCCCAAGTTCACAGAGCATTCTCAGACTTAAGTTGAGAATTTACTCAATTTTTAATTACTGTTTATAAGGAATATCTTTCATCCAGAAACAAAACTTTGCACATAGTTTCTTAGTGATGTATTTGATACATTAAAACAACAAAAGTTTTATAAAGTGCTATATTTTAGTAAATATAAGGCGAGCAATTTTGAGTAAATTCTTAACTTAAGTCTGAGAATGTTTTGTGAACTCGGGGCCCGGATTCGAATTTCGTCGTGGGCCGCGAAGAACCTTACGATTTTGAAACCCGATGCACGCTTGTCAGGTACGCGTTGGGAATGAAATGGTCCACGCGTGAATATAATAATTGCATATAACCGAACCCTTGACAGATGGAAGTTGGTGAAAAGTAGACACATATGTCAATGTTCGGGCAAATCTCGCCTACATGGTATTGTCAAAATGTTCTCGAGATGCTAAATCACGTATCACGTATTATTTCAACAAGTAATAACTAAACAAGCATGTGTGAAACAGCTCACCCAGGAGGCCCCGGAATCGAAACCAGTGTTAGCCGAGAAATTTCCTTGGGACGTTTCATCTTGGTTGTCCCTTGTCAGGACAGATGGCCTTGCAAGAAAAAAGCGTCCATCGGTTCGCGTGCACAAAGAACGTTTGATAGAAGGGTCGGCGGAAATTTCACTGTTCGGAGAAAATTATAGTCGTTAAACCGGTTGTTACAGAACAGTAGCGTGTTAAACTCCATTTTATTTCCGGACTGAATATGATTCTACTATCTATGTTATTGAAGATGTACAATATCCTTTGTTGCGAGGGCGTAATTAAAGCGAAAACGTTAGACATAAAAAAGAGTATGATCATTTTATCGGGGGCGTTATACAGGTGGAGCTGAAACTTATGGAAGTTAGTTCCATCGGCCCCTTTTTATTCATTAGTTCTTTAAAGATTTTATTCATTAGTTCTTTAAAGATACATTAGTTAAAAGCTAAATATGACTATTGCAAGTCTTTCGTTAGGCTTCAAATGTTATAGGCCTTTATTTATACAACAAGCCCAAAATCAACTCTGTAGACCAAGGCTTGGATACAACTTGGATTTAAACAGTCGTCCATTTAATAATTAGATCATTAAATGGCTGACCAAGCTAACATTTACCGTTAATCACTGACGTCACTACCGGAGACTGTCGATGGCAGGACTGACAATCGAGGGTATCGTAGGCAATGAGAATGTGGGTGGAGTTATCGTCTGTCAATCAAATGATCTCGGAGACCGTGCGGAGACAATTGATGCCTATTTCTAGTCCAAACTTCCAACAGTGATAATTTTCAGAATAGAGTAATTTGACTGAAATTTTCAATGTTTTCTTTTTTATCATCTATTTGTGAACTGCTATATATAACCTTTGCTTGTGCCCCAATCCCCTCAGATTCTGAATAATATTATTTATAAAAAAATAAAAAAACAGACTAGAAAATCCCGATGCATTTTTTCGGTTAGCACCGTGATCAAATTCCCAAAATGTCTCAATTCTCTATTGAAATTTGTTTAGCAAAATATACACTTCATTAATTATAAATATTGGCAATTAGTTCGTCTATTTATATCAATTCTTATATCCCTTTAGTAGAAAAATCATATGGATTTATTGTACTATATGTTTTAATTTAAGCCCTTAGTTTATGAGATGAAGGTCTGTTTTAACATGAACTTTTCTATTTCACTTCAGATGAAGTACGAACTGGTACATACCGTCAACTGTTCCACCCTGAACAACTCATCACTGGTAAAGAAGATGCCGCCAATAATTACGCTCGAGGTCACTACACGGTCGGTAAAGAAATCGTTGATTTGGTCCTTGACAAAATCAGAAGATTAGCTGATAGTTGCACTGGTCTTCAAGGTTTCCTTATCTTCCATAGCTTCGGTGGAGGAACCGGGTCTGGTTTTACATCCCTGCTCCTTGAGAGATTAAGTGTAGATTATGGCAAGAAATCTAAACTCGAATTCGCCATTTACCCAGCTCCCCAGATATCCACTGCCGTGGTTGAACCATACAACGCTATTCTCACCACCCATACAACGCTGGAACATTCAGATGTCGCTTTCATGGTTGACAACGAAGCTATTTACGACATTTGTCGACGTAACCTTGACATTGGTAGACCAACTTACACCAACCTCAACAGAATCATCTCGCAGGTTGTAAGTTCTATCACAGCTTCTCTCCGATTTGATGGCGCCCTGAATGTTGATTTAACTGAATTCCAGACCAACTTGGTGCCTTATCCTCGGATACATTTCCCACTTGCTACGTATGCACCTATTGTGTCTGCTGAGAAAGCTTACCATGAACAAATCACCGTTGCAGAAATAACCAACGCTTGTTTCGAACCAGCAAACTCGATGGTCAAGTGTGATCCTCGTCATGGAAAGTACATGGCTTGTTGCATGTTGTATCGCGGAGACGTTGTGCCTAAAGATGTCAATGCTGCCATTGCTACTATTAAAACCAAAAGAACCATCCAGTTTGTGGACTGGTGTCCAACAGGTTTTAAAGTGGGTATCAACTACCAACCACCAACTGTTGTACCAGGAGGTGATTTAGCCAAGGTTCAGAGAGCAGTTTGCATGTTGAGCAACACCACAGCCATTGCTGAAGCCTGGGCTCGTCTAGATCATAAATTTGATCTGATGTATGCTAAGAGAGCTTTCGTCCACTGGTATGTTGGTGAAGGTATGGAAGAAGGAGAATTCTCTGAAGCCAGAGAGGATTTGGCTGCTCTGGAAAAGGATTATGAAGAAGTTGGAGCGGAAGGGGGCGATGATGAAGGAGAAGGAGAAGATGAATATTGAACTATGAATCGTTTCGGATAGTCTTACGCAATGCGACTCCAGGGCTTATAATTGCGTCCATTGATTTCAACCTGCTGTTTTAAGACAAAATTAAGTTGATATATACTTAATCATATATACGATTCGGCTCCAGATTCCATTCAATTCAAACTTCTTTTTTTAGATCAGAGTTAATTATAAAATATATGTATCTTCTAGCATTGTATTTACCCAAAGTTTTTCTGGTGATACTACATAAAGACGCCAGTTAAAAAGTGATATTTTTATTTATTTCCGGGACGAAAGGGAACAGAGAACCTTCTCCGTAATATATACATGTACTCATGTTCATAATCTAAATAGCCTATCAGAAAATGCACTCAATAAAATCTAATTTGTTAACCCTTTCAATGCTAGACGTAAATCCACTGCCTGTGCTAGACCCTTTTTTGAGGAAAAAAGGGAGGTTGGAACTGAATGCCAAGCAGTACTTATGGAAGCTTTTATGAAAAATCTTTTTGTCTGTTGGGATGGGCATGAGGTTGGGCTAAGAGGAAAAAATAGAATTTTGGAAATTTGCATAATAATGTAGTCACGTGACGTCATGGCGGCCATTTTGGATTTCTCATTTCACACTAAAGCTAACACGAAAACGAATTTTTCTCCATGAAATACTTAAAAGATATTGTTTTTTTTACTGGATTTTGATAAAGATATATAAAATGAACAAAAATATCAATAGCAGCCATGAGCAATGCCGCCGCGAACACGCGCATCACGTCTCCCGCTGCCATGACCACGTGCGGATTGCAATACCTTGATTTTACTTTCACTTTCACTTTCATCCCCAAGTCCTATATCATTATCAATATAGTCAGTCAATAGATCTACACGTTCGGGAATCAGGAATTACCTACGTATTTTACGATCCAGCAGGCCAGCATTATTATAAACATCAGAATTATTGTCAGAATCTACTGCAGACACAGGGCTAGCGTGTTCACATTGGGCTTGTTCATCATGCACGGGAGACATAGCTAGCCATGGGCGGAACGTCGCGCAACAAATCACACACTTCATAATACCAATCACTGTCCTGACTACTATCATTATCAAGTAACTGGAAACGAATTATGTGTATCACCCGCCTCGAAATTGTCCACATGTTGGTCAGCAAGACGTCATTCACGACTTCGTCGAGAGTGCATCGTCTACGTTGTCACAATGCACTCCACCATTTTACGGTTTGCCGCTTTGAAACACGTGGAAATATGTTCTAGTGTATAGAAAATACAATAGATGGCACTTGCAGTTACGGTACTAATTTTAGCGAGGGCTTTACTGAGTACACGGTAATACCGGGTACGGGCATTTTACCGACATTTTATAATACCCGGTACTACCGGGTATACGCAGTGAAAGGGTTAATCAATATCTCGTTTTAGTATGGACGTCTTGAAAGTCACGTGGTTAGCTGTTGTACCCTAGTATATGGTCCTGCAATGTCGAAATTAATCACGGGCGGTTTGGTGTGGTCGAGGGAGAAGAAGTTAAGCATTCGGACCGCTCGACGCCTTATCCCGTCCCAAACCGCCAGTCTCGTAAATAGCTGTGGTGCTTTAAGGAACTAGTATAATACATTACAGAAACCATTGACGTATTTCGGTCGGTTTTGGGTGGTCGGTTTTGGGGTAGTCGGGGTGGGGTTGGGGCTGTAGGTTTTAGGAACTTTAAAATCGTCTTGTCAAAAGCAACATGTTGATCACGTCCGGTTTTTCTGGAGCTGTCCCCCCGTTTGTGGTAGAGAATGTCCAGCCTAGTGAAGCTTTGGGAAAAGGTAGGAGCTGGACAAGTATTGTAGAGCAATCCAAGGGAAGTAAGTCTAGTTATAAAGCGTCTCTTCTGGTATCAGACTAATAATCCACTCCCCATTAAATACATTGCTTGGTCTAAAACATTGTATAAACATTCCGATATTCTTGATCTTTATAACCACAAAGAGAACAACACATCACAATACTCTGATAAAAATATTGAATGGGTTTGAAAATCTGGACATTTATTTGTTACTCTAAAGGCTTTGATGTCAGTTTCGTACGCGAGTATCCTAATACGTTTGGGGGCTTGGATGGCCGAATGGTTAGGATGTGTGTGCCGAATAATAAGGTCTGTCATTGAGTCAACTGGCGGGGTTTCGATTCCCTGGTTGTACGTGACAAGGAGTAGGGTGAACTGTCCATCCTCGTGGGTTTTCTCCGGGTCCTCCGGTTTTCTCCCACTGCTTAAGACCCTATTGAATTATTGAATTAAAGGTGAACCATATGTTAGGCCCGAAATGACCTAGTTTGTGTCGAGTCGACGGTACCCCCCCCCCCCTCTCTCTGTCAATTCGTGTTTGTTTACATCTTTATTCTCGCGGCTATGAATTGTAAATAGTAAATTCATACACTCTCCATCGATTCTTAACCGCGTACATAGACGAACTATCATTAATTCGGACAAACCACCAAACAAAAGTTCCTTAACTTTATAGCCTTTCTCTCAATTTTCCCCACATTTCCACCAGATTTAGTGAATATTTGTGATTTTGAGGCGGAATGATAACTGAGTTAAGCGTTGAAATGTAGCGCGGATAGTTAAATGTTTACTAGTATCCTACTTCCATTTTTTGTATCTCATGACTTGTATGGCCAATCTTACGGGTGTGTTTAACAATATGCACAACATGTTGTTCCATTTCGGAAAAAGTTAAAGTCTAGCAAACAATAAATGAATATTTTTGTTAACCCCCTACTTTTCTGCACCGACCTGAATGATGAAGATGGGCATACGCCATGCAGTGTGCTATAAGGGAACTTTTCACCGGTCAGCAATTACATTCCAACTGTCAAGGGTTCTTTTATGTGCACACCAAATTGTACAAGTCACCTAATTTTTTTTGTCCCATCCGTATGAATAGATGCCTTTGTACTGCACCACTGACGTCTGGAACATAAGGGGGTGGGTTTAACTTCTGGTCAGTCGTTTTGGGACTAACATATTGTAATTTTCATTCCTATGGTTGAGTGTACAATGCGGTGTATGTGTGTGTTGTTGGGGAGGAGAGGGGGTGACAGGATTCGAATTCCTATTGACATGGGATCTTTTACGTTCACGCTACCTCGTTTTTTACCTATAAGAACGACTAGACGCTGTTCCGTGCAAGACCCTTCGTGTTACACCACTGAAAAGGGGTAACCACGCTTAAAAATCCCCCAAAACTATCGAACCCGAGGCGTCCTGGTTACTGAGCCAGTGTCGTATCCACTGAGCCACTGTAACTCCTTAATAAAAACAAATAAAACGAAAGTAATATATGTTTATTTATATACAGTATAAATGTTAATAAAATATGAAGACCTGCCGAGGTATTTACACACAATCGTGGAAGAATTCATTATATTTTAGATGGTAAAATCACCTTTAAAATGATAAAATAATGAAATAAAAAGTACCACCTCACTATGGACCGGGAACTGAATATGACGTCATCGAAGCCATCTTGAAATTTATGACCTCATATCAAAAATCGCAGTCCAAGATGGGTAGCGCTTGTGGCCCAGACCTCGAGTTCACAAAGCATTCTCAGACTTAAGTTAAGAATTTATTCAAAATTGTTCGCCTTATTTTAACGCCCTTTATAAAACTTTTGTTTTTTAAACGTAGGCCTATCAAATACGCCAAAGACAAATAATTATGTGCAAAGTTTCGTGTTTTTGGATCAAACAAATTTCTCATGAACAGTGATTGAAAATTGGGTAGATTATTAGGCCTAAGTCTGAGAAGGCCTTGGAAACTCGGGTCCAGCCCCTGTTCCAAAAATAAACGTGCAACCTTTTAAAAAAACTAATTACGCCTATTCCTATCTTTGCATAGCACACAAAGTCTTAAAGTACAGTGTTTGGAAAAAAAGAATATAAACAAAATACGCAACTAATTATGGCCGAATATACTATAACACATACCTAGACCACATCAGTTTGTTTTTCTGCTCTTATTTCGTCGGGAAATGAAATGGAGTTTAACCTCCTACTGTTCTACCCCGACTGGGTTAATGAAGACGGTTATTTCGTCGGGAAAAAGACTTGTTTTAAAACGAAAAGTACTCATTCTTGCTGTTCAAAATCCTACATTTCGAATTTTTGAAATTTGAACAAAATATCTTTTACGTGATTCAAGTGACCATTTATTTATCAAGAACTCTTAAGAGCAGAAAAAAAAACCAAATTGGTGTGACATTCTAGAAGAAGAATGCGTGGTTTCTCTGATTTATTGTTGGGTGGCAAGAATGGTTAACGCGTGCTCGCTGTACCATACGGTCTGTCATTGAGTCAACTGGCGTGGTTTCCATTCCCCCTTGTACGTGACAAGAAGTAGGGTCGTCTGTCCAACCTCGTGGGTTTTCTCCGGGTACTCCAGTTTCCTGCCACTGCTAAAGACCCCTATGCGCAAGCTAATTATTGAAATAGAATTGAACCATTTGTCCCAAAATGACCTGGTTTGTGTCGAGTGGACTTTAAGCACCATCTCTCTCTCTCTCTCTCTCTCTCTCTCTCTCTCTCTCTATCTGGGCGTGCCAATAGGGGAGCAGAGGGCAAATTCAATCAATGAGCGAAATTAAAATGATCTTTTATAAAATTTGAAATTATCGCTGTACGCGTTGTCTTACTTAATTTAAACAAAAGGTTTATTTCATCTGTCTTCACATATTTAAAATGTCTCTCTTTCGCCCATTTCTCAGTACTAGGGTATATACGTGCGTCTTGGGGGGCGTATACAATCCAGCATTTGGACAAAGGCATCACCAAATCTTTGCACACCACTAAAAATATTGTTATGGCAGGTGTATACATGTTGGTTAAATTATTCTACAGTCGGTCCTAGCATTGTTCAAATGTCACAATTAATTTAGTTTGATAAATATCACATCAATATAACATTGCATTATTACATAATCTTATATGACGTTGTCGTTTCAATGAAGCCTACTAATGTATTATATCTTGAGGAAATGCGTGTTATATACTAAATAAGGTTACATAATCTTATATGACGTTGCCTAAAATATATGTACTATATCTTGTGTAAATGCGTGTTATATACTAAATAAGGTTACATCTTTACCATTATAAATGAGAGAGAGGGCGGGGGGGGGGGGGGGGGTTAAGGGGTTATAACCATTACAGTTAGGGCCTGATATGTAAATTTTATTTACCTGTATGTTGTACTAGTTATTAGGGTGACGAATGAATGACTTCTAATTTTATTCCTGTATTGAAATCTTGGATCAGGTTTTTCTTACATCATGATATACTATGTCGTTCACATATTTTACTGAACTTGCTTGAAAACATTGAGAACAAATTCTAACAAACGCCGACTATATAAGTTAGTAATTGTTCACCTATAAATATATGTGTTATAGTTTATTGCTCTATCAAAACACTAAATTGCTCTAACTTATTATAGTTATCGGTATCAGTTAACAAAAATTTGAATTCAATTAATAAAGTTAATAAGTTGAAAATATTAATAAATAAAACTATTATTTGAACAAGTCTTCTTATTGACTAATACCAATAATGTAGACTGTCATCTAATAGCCAGTAGGGGGTATATACATTTCTTGCCTCTGGAACTCTACAATAGAATTCACTTCCTAAATGCCTCCCAACGAGCTAATGTGTTAACTAAATGAAAACAAAATAAAGTGAATTAAAATTATATATTAGGAAAATCTACAAAATAGAAACGACACTCAGTATTAATACTGAATGCGTTTCAAAGAACTCATTTGCTACATTGGTGAAAAAATATTGAAATAAATTCTAAAAATCATTTTAAAAACTATATATTATTACGACCGGGGCAATTCTTGAAAAAAAAAATGGTAAAAATCGCATTACGGTCTTTTGAAAGCTAGGAAGACAGCGCGAGGTGAGCAAATAGAAGTAATTAAAGTACAGAGATCTCATTCATTAAAACTTTTCAGAGATATTTTAAGGTTGTGACCTTTTCATTCATTGGAGGTTAAAATCCTAGCAGAAATTTATACTCTCAGCAAATGAAAAGACTGATTTCTTAAAATATTTTAGTTTAAGTGTTGGTGAATAAGGGCCCAGGTAACAAATATAAACAGACAAGGCAGCATTTCTAAATACTGGAGTAAAAGCAATACTTTTGGCGGCAATAATATCACATATGATATCGCTATGGCAACAATGGAAAGACAAAGTGTACGATTTTAAGGAAGGAATATTCATTAAACGATCTGAAATGTATTTGAGGAAAATTTACTCCACAGGAAAAACAGACAATGGTCCCAGGCTTTTAATAATTCCGGAAATCAATTTGCTCTCCTGTATATTCCAATAAAGACATCCATATGGTATTTTAAATCTGAGTTATAATTCCCAGTATGCCGGGCCGTCGGGAAGAGAAACGTGTAATCGGCATACCGAACAGATACGCCCCGGGTGTAAATTCAACGGGTCCGAACGGAACGGTCTAAGACTCTTGGAATATATGTCATAATATGGAAGTCGATCAGCAACTTTGTGATACTGTTAAAAAGTTTCAATTTATAGTCATAAACCGAGTTGGTTATCTCCCTTCAATCTCAAATATTTCAACAGTCGAACAATTATATCCATTAACAAAAGATTAAAAATCTGTCCCTTGGCTGATAACACTGTCCTTTATTTATATCTGTTGTATTCATGTGGAGTAAATTCTCCTTTAAATCACAACTATTAAAACCACAGTCATTTTTAGGAGATCGCGTATAGTTTCCAATCCTATCATTACGTGAAAAAAAGAGAATACACAGCACCTTACAATGGTCTCCATAAAAACATCAGCCACTGTTTAAAAGTCTTTTCCTTCGCCATCTTTGTCATTTTCGTCATCATCAAAACCCTCGACAGCAACTTCCTCGTAGTCCTTCTCCAGGGCAGCTAAATCTTCTCTAGCTTCAGAGAATTCACCCTCTTCCATGCCTTCACCAACATACCAGTGGACGAAAGCTCTCTTAGCATACATCAGGTCAAATTTATGATCTAAACGAGCCCAGGCCTCGACGACAGCCGTGTTGTTACTCAACATACAGACTGCTCTAGTTAATTTAGCAACATCACCGCCTGGTACAACAGTTGGTGGCTGGTAGTTGATACCGACTTTGAAACCAGTTGGACACCAGTCCACAAACTGGATAGACTTTTTGGTCTTGATGGCAGCAATGGCCGCATTGATGTCCTTGGGAACAACATCACCTCGATAAAGAAGGCAACAAGCCATGTATTTTCCACGAGTTGGATCGCATTTTACCATCTGGTTATGGGGTTCAAAGCATGCATTAGTGAGGTCTGCTATTGAATGCTGCTCGTGGTGGGCTTTCTCGACAGAAATAATTGGCGCGTAGGAAGCCATGGGGAAATGAATACGTGGATAAGGTACCAAATTAGTCTGAAACTCGGTCAGATCTACATTTAAGGCGCCATCGAATCTGAGAGAAGCAGTAATAGAGCTGACAATCTGACCAATCAAGCGATTTAGATTGGTGTACGTTGGTCGCTCTATGTCCAAATTGCGTCGACAGATGTCGTAAATGGCTTCGTTGTCCACCATGAAGGCGACGTCGGAATGTTCGAGAGTTGTATGCGTGGCTAAAATAGAATTGTAAGGCTCGACAACGGCAGTTGATATCCTGGGAGCTGGGTAGATGGAGAACTCTAATTTCGATTTTTTTCCATAATCGACGCTCAGCCTCTCCAAAAGCAGGGACGTAAACCCAGAACCAGTTCCCCCACCAAAACTGTGAAAGATTAGGAAACCCTGAAGACCAGTACACTGATCAGCCAATTTTCTGACTCTGTCAAGAACAAGGTCGATGACCTCTTTACCGACGGTGTAATGACCCCGAGCGTAATTGTTGGCAGCATCTTCTTTACCGGTTATCATTTGCTCGGGATGAAAGAGTCGTCGGTATACCCCAGTTCGAATTTCATCTGAAATATAATAGAAACACGCTGTAATTAGTAGGCATCAGCAGTAGAGGTAACAAGGAAGCTGAGACCGTTGAACTCTTTGCCATCTATGACAAATATTAAGGCAATTCTACTACTCTTACTTCGATTGCATGTTGGGGTTTGTCTTGGACTTTGTAATAAGTAGGCATTAGCAGTAGGAGGGGTGACAAGGAAGCTGAGGGCGTTGAACCCTGTGGCATCTATGAAAAATGTTAAGGCAATTCCACCGCTGTTACTTCGGCTGCATGTTGGGGGTTGTCTTGGACTGTTTTTTAATGCGGCCGCTGGTCAGATGGGAGTGTAGGGTGTGGAATGACAATAATTTTAACGGCAATAAAGAATCGAACAAGTGGAAACACCAAAAATAAGGAAGAAGGTAGCCTAGAGCGGCTAACTATCTCCTGTTATCTGAGAAAACCTAGTAAGTCAAATTTTGGTGAAGATTGAGTTAGACCCATAATTAATTGCTGTCCGGGCAAAATTTCCCTCATAGTACACTGCATGGCGTATGCTCAGCTTCATTAGCCCGGCTGGCGCAGGCAGTAGTGCGTGAAATATTCTTTCATTTCATTTTCACTCTGGCACGTTATCAACATATTTTAAGATCTGGTGGAAGGCATCCATGTTTGAAGTATTTAAATGGTTATCAATGACCACACCTCACCTCCCCACCCCACCTCACCACCCTTCCCCATTTTGTCACTGTACAACCAAAAGCCTTTTCCAATATAATTTACCGAAAAACATGCACTAAATTGACATCTTAGCATCAGAAATCGCTTATCTTAGTATTAGTTTGAGATCGTGGCGGTGTGGGTCAATAAATTATTGATGTTTTTCTCTAGACAGATAAATTGCCAAGAGATTGTAAAATGGATTTAGTCTACAACAATTTGACTTTCTGTCCTTTGAGAACTCCTGTAAGAGAAATTTCTTCTTATTTATTCGTAAAAAAGACTTGGTTATACTGTTCAAGAGCTTTCAATTCATAATTTATACGTTTTGAAATTTTTAACAAAACATCTTTCAGGTGATTCAAGTATATATTATTTATCAGAAAATCAATGGTGTGGGCTTCCTTACCTACTACAGTTGGCTCCAAGTCAACAAAAATGGCCCTCGGTACATGTTTACCGTTACCAGTTTCACTGAAGAACGTATTAAAGGAATCGTCTTCCTTGCCAACAGTCGTATCCGTTGGCATCTGTCCATCAGCATGTATGCCATGTTCTAAACAGTACAACTCCCAACACGAGTTGCCCATCTGACATCCGGCCTGACCGACATGGATATTGATACATTCACGCTGCAAAATGAAAACAAAAACCCATAATAACACTGAATTCATAAATTTGAATAATTGAGAGAGAGAGAGAGAGAGAGAGAGAGAGGTAGAGGTGGGTGGGGGTAATTTGAAAACAGTTAGAAAGGTACGTATAGTGGGTCGAATCTTAGGGGTTCTGGGCAAATTCAAGGATGGGGTCGGTATCCTAGACGAAATTGCCATCGATATGCCATTCAGAAATATTCTTAATTATAAGGTTTGTTATTATTTTAGGTGGCTGAGCGAACGAATGCCTGTTCTTTCAAATGTAAGATTTGCCATTGTTTTAGGTGCATGGCCGAGTGCGCGAGTGCGTGTTCTTTCAATTATAATTATGAGATAAGACGGTTAGTTTCATTTCTTGCTTGTTTATATAAGTCTCGATCAATTTCAAGATTAGATTTACGCCAGCGATATTCTTTTAGTTATAATTATGAGGTCGGTGGCAGAGAGGACGAATACGTGTTCTTTTAGTTATGACTATGAGGTCGGTGGCAGAGTGGACGAATACGTGTTCTTTTAGTTATAATTATGAGGTCGGTGGCAGAGTGGACGAATACGTGTTCTTTTAGTTATGACTATGAGGTTTATCATTATTTTAGGTGGCCTAATGGACGAATGCGTGTTCTTTCAGTTATAATTATGAAGTCGGTGTCAGAGTGGACGAATGCAGGTTCTTTCAATTATAATTATGAGGTTTGTCATTATTTTAGGTGGCCGAATGCGTGTTCTTTTAGTTATAATTATGAGGTTTGCCATTATTTTAGGTGGCCGAATGCGTGTTCTTTTAGTTATAATTATGAGGTTTGTCATTATTTTAGGTGACAGAGTGGACGAATGCAGGTTCTTTCAGTTATAATTCGGTGGCAGAGTGGACGAATACAGGTTCTTTCAATTATAATTATGAGGTTTGCCATTATTTTAGGTGGCCGAGTGGACGAATACAGGTTCTTTTAATTATAATTATGAGGTTTGTCATTATTTTAGGTGACCGAGTGGACGAATGCGTGTTCTTTCACTTATAATTATGAGATCTGTCATTATTTTAGGTGACAGAGTGGTCGAATACGTGTTCTCTCTGTTATAATCATAAGGTCTGTCATTATTTCTTTCAATTATAAGGTCTGCCACCATTTCACTAGAATACACCTGTGTAGCCAGTTATGTTGTAAATCAATCTAGTTCAGTTAAAACCAGTTACCTGGTAACTATTTTAAAATCAATACTGGTGAAAATAATGGCGAGAAATTCCAACAATACCACATTAAATGAGGAAAAGATATGATGCATTTGTCGATCAATAGCACGTGTTACCTGCTTCACAATTTGTCAATATGGCTGTCAAAGCTTATGCTAAATACCTATTTTCTTTATACAAATGGTAGAAAAATAGAAATTTCAATGATATTAATAATATTAATTTTGACTTTGTAAACGTAGTAAGTAAATGTGTCACTGCACAGTTTGGGCTTCAAAAATCCAAGGGCAGATAATATATGACTGTATTTGCTTACAGGAGAGAGAATGAGAGAGAGGGAGAGAGAGAGAGAGGGGGGGGGGGTATCGTAGGACGTAATGCGAGAATACGTTAGACCACCTCGTATCCCCCATTCCCCACCCCGCGCTATAAAAATACAACGAATAGGAATTGTCATTTTATATATAATACAAGCATATATACATTTATTAATTGATTTACTGATGCTTCAACACATTTTTTCTCCCTAGAACAATATTATAAAATTTAGATATATATAAAACAACGCATGATTGGACAGGCGAGGTGACCCTACTTCTTGTCACGTACACGCGGGGAATCGAAAACACTCCACTTGACTCAATGTTAGACCTTATGATACAACGCACGCGGTAACCATTCGGCCACCCAACACCCCTAAAAAAATAATATATAAAAATGAAATGGGGTTTTACGGCCTACTGTTGTGCTTCTAATGCTATTGAAGACGGGCATACGCCATACAGTGTGCAATGAGGCGCTACGGCCTACTCTTATATCGACTTCCAACTGCCAAAGGATCTTTTACATGCACGCCAATGGGTACACAAGACCTCGATGTCTCGTCCCATCCGAACGACTAGACAGCTGCCCTAACTGCACCACTGGCAAGGGGAAACAAGGGATCGAACTCGCGACCTCCAGGATAGCGAGCCAGCGTCTTACTCACTCGTGGGTACAGAACAATACATACTATTACAGTATACCAATACAGTTTAGATACCAATATGGTGAATCATGCCCTATATTACAATTCTAATCAATAATTACAGTCATACACACTGCAGTTGTAAAATATTTATTTTCATATAATATATATAGTGCATACCATATATATTTAACAATAAAGACAAAGAATGCTTGACCGAGGCCCCGGGGTGGAACGAGTCGTGGTTTTCGTGTCAGAAGTGTGCTAAGGCCTTCCAGAACTCTAACTTTCATGCTGTGAAAGATGAAGTTCATGGAATTGCCTGCCCCAACCCCACCTTGCCCATCAATTAATTCTTGGCAACGCACCCGCTTGCAGTATTTTTTGTACCTGTCTGAAAGGCAATACATTTTCAGTCCCTTAGATTAAGTGGACGCAGGTACGCTTACGCACGACACTCATGACAGATACGCTTGGACTGAATGATCGTGTCTAGACGAAGAATTAGCTAAATAAAATAAACCATGTGTCAAAAAGGTCTGCGATATCACCCTGGGTGGAAGCAGCGAACATTAACTCCCAGGTAGAAGGAAGAAATTAGCCCACAGCAGACTACACTTTCCGTCCTCCAATAGTAAGGTAGAAACAATTTGGCGGGTAGGGCTTTATATTTCGGCCCAAAATCGTATTGCAATGCAATATATTGCAGTATTGCAATATTTCGATAAAGTCATGGTTTATCACAAAGCTAGGGCACAGTTTTATATTGAAGTTTTTTTGGTTTTACGACTTATTGTTTACTGCAAAGCCTTGGTTTTGTCTTTGCAGATTTATTGTTTACTGCAAAGCCTAAATAATATGATTCATTATGAAATCTTTATAAACAGTCTGGCTAACAATAATCTTTAAGAGTCTGGCTAACGTTTGAATAAAATAAAAGTAGAAAATATAGATACGGCAAAAATGTATCGGTACAGTGTATCGCGGATGATCGTATTGCAATAAAAATGTATCGGTACAGTGTATCGCGGATGATCGTATTGCAATAAAACATTATCTATTGGCAGCCCTAATAGCGGGTATTAAGTGTAATTTAATGATCGAGATCGAGACATTAAGTAATATATTGAAACAACACCAGTGGTGACGTAGTCACGAGTTGTTGTTTCAATTATATTACGCAATGTCTTAAGCTCGAGACCATTAAACAACTAAAAATACAGACACTCGCACGTGCTTTGCAATGAAATACGTCACACGGGTCCAAAATTTTAACTAGTATAAATAGTGTACGCTTGGCACATTGCCTGTACCATTATTTGAAATAATGATACGCCAACATCAAAGGATGACGTCACATCTGCATTTTAATTATGGAAATATTCCTCAAACGAAGACTGATCATATGTTTTGAACAAAATACGCTGGCTAGTAGACAAGTCATGATGACCCCTCCCTCTTTCCTATAGCACCACACAACACAAGGAATAATAAGCTGTATATAATTCCTGGACAATTCTTCCGTTCTTGATTTAGATTTATCAGACAGAATTAAACCCCACCTGAATCCCGTTATATAACATCCGAGACATCTAGTACAAACCGGCTGCAACTACTGACCAAGAAAGGTGGCCATACGTTAGATGCCACCTCGTCAATTATAAAAATGAAATGACATGGAATAGGTTAGCGTCCAGACACAATTAAACCCCACCCCAATCCCCTTATGTCAGATCCGAGGCATTTACAACAACTACTATTGACCCAGGAGAATGGTCATACATTAAATGTCATCTAATAATTGGGTTTGTTTAACGGATGCTGGACTACCCCAGACACAGTTGAACCCCATCTTATATACATCAGAGATATTTACAGCTAGTGCATCCGTCTTCATTAGCCCAGTCGGAGCAGAACAGTAGGACGTTAAATCCCATTTCATTTACAACTAGTGCAAACCGGAACCTACTACATAAAGATGGTCATACATTATATCCCATTTAATCAATGTTTCGCATTATAGGAATGAAATGAAATAGACTGGAATTGAACGTCCTACTTTTCTGCACCAGACACAATTAAATCCCCTATATACAGTAACATCCAAGGCGTTTACAGGCCGGCATTTAGTAGTACAAGCCCAGAAAGATGGTCATACATTAAATGCTTTCTAATAATTGAGCTTGTTCAACGGATGCAGGACTATAGAAATGAACTGGAATGGGGGTTAACGCCTTGCTTTTCTACCCCAGACACAGTTGAACCCCATCTTAATCCTCTTATATAACATCGGAGAAATTTGCATGTAGTACAAACCGGCGCCTGATACATACTGCAAACGATGGTCAGATAATCTATGCATTAAAGATAGCTTACCATGGCTTATGATGATACTGAGGTAATCTGGAACAAGATTCTTCTTCTTCTAATAAAATACAACCAAAAAGAAGACGAATTTAAAACACAGGTCGGGAATTACACTCACGTGGACGAGAATTGATGTCGTGTGAGTAGGAAGTTGGTCTGTGATCCACCAATTGAAAACCCTAGCAATATACACGAACCACACTGCCACACATGTTGCTGATGTTATTAACACACCAACCAGTCGTTGATAAATATCGATCCTGGTTTTGTATTCAGTATTCAGTCTGTGACAGGCCTACACACACATATATGTGGGTTTCTGGTATTCTAAGCCTGTAAGCGATAGCTGTGTCGCTGGTTTATGATGTGAGTCATCTGCTCAAGAAATGCATTGACAAATTTGTTCATTTATTGCGACTGAACATGCTTAATAATTTGTCAATTTAGTTGACATTAGTGATTTTTTTTTTTTGCTATGAAATCAGAACACTTTAAAAGAAATAAGATGGGGTTAATCTCGGGCTTTTCTGCACCGACCTGGCTAATTAAAACAACCGGCATATATAGGTCCACTATACCCTTCGTCGAATTCCATCTGTCAATGGAAATTTCAGGTGTTCGTACCATTCAAACGATTAGACATAATATTTCATATCAGGACTGCACCATTAGCAGTCAGGCTGTAAATTCCCCAGGAACTTTCTCAGCCATCACCGCGAGATCGAAGCCGGGACCACTGGATTCATCATATGATGCATCGCGCATGCGTTAACCACTGCCCCCCCCCCATATGTTTAAAAGAAAGACACTGTCCTGGACCCCAGCCCTATCCATGGGAGGAGCCACTGTGGCTAAGTGGGTAACCTGCAATGACCGAGAAAGTTCATTGGAATCTTCCGACATGGTTCCCCTTGTCAATGACGCAGGATGGAGGGCCTGACAATGGCAGCTGTTTAGTCGTTCGGATGGGGTGAAAAACCGAGGTCCAGCGTATACATTGAGGTGCACGTAAAAGATGCCTTGGCAGTAGGAATTCGATATTAGAGTAGGTCATAGTGTCGCTGCCCGGGAACAATTATTTCCCTCATAGCACACTGTATGGCGTATGTTCGTCTTTATTAGCCCAGTCGGAGCAGAACAATAGGACGTTAAACCTCATTTCATTTCATTTCCATGGGACCATAGAAAGAAATTAACCATATGTTAGATATGTTAGTCTCAAAATGATAGACGCAAGTGTATTGAGAAGTTAACCCCCTGTCCTTTTCTTGGATTAAGAAACTATCATAGACGTTAATTTGCGATTCGAAAAGCGAATTTAGAGATCCGAAATTCTATTTTAAAAAACCCAACAAACAACGATAATATATTCAATGAATGTGATTCATTCAGTTACCCATTTCAAAATGAGTCGTCTAGTGACCTAATGGGGTCAGAATGTTCTGACCATCATAAAGAATTATCGATATTACAACTTGGTGGAGTCTGTGGTATATAAATACAGGAAATAACGAGGCTAGTGTGTGGCTCCAATAACATTATGGGTAAGGATTATAATGCTTCAGCGTTGAAGATGGTAGGCAGTAGCCATATTAGGGGCGAGTTTATAATAACAGAACGCCCCCACAATACTGCCGCACGCTTTATACCGCTCCAACAATACCATCGCACACCACATAACGTCCCAACAATACTGCTGTGCACCACATACCCGCCACACTCCACGAACAATGCCACCGCACACACACACCAACAATGCTGCCTCACACTCACACAACACCACAACAAAAGCGCAAAACAACCACCGACTGGCAAAATCTATTTGTTAAGGCCAGCTCAATTTTTGTCATGGTAGCTGATATGTAAATAAGGTTAGGGCAAGGTTGTAGGTTAGGACTTGGATAAGCATTGGGGCTAGGTCCAGGGTTAGAGTTAACGCTAGCCCTAACTAAACCTAACCCTGGGCCAACCTAACCCTAACGCACAATATACATAGGAAGTCGTATGTACAGGACTGTGTCCGATCTAGCGTTCTCCGTGTTTACTATGCTATGTTCGGATGTGACGAAAAGACGACGTCCCGTGTAGGCTACACGTGGGAATGCAAAATTCCCTTATAGCGCACGGTATGGTGTATGCCTGTCTTCATTATCCCAGTCGGAGCAGATCAGTGGGAAGTTAAACCCAATTTCATTTCATTTTTTAAAAATATTCTTGAATAATTTCCATTGTTTATCTGTCAATAACGTTACCGGGTACGGTTAAAGGGACTATCCTGATTCTAACAGAGTCTCAAAAATAAAAGTCGGAGTACGTATGAAATTTAAGTGCCAAAATATAGAGGAATGGTGTATTTACCGTCTCTCAAAATTCCAGCTCAAAATATTGAGTAGTTTGGACGTGAACGTCAAAACTGCTTATCCGGACACGTAACCCTTTTAAGAATTCGGGTCAATTTTTTCGTTGGGTGACCTGATAATCGATTCCCGTTACTTGGGAGGTCTATATAGTGAATGACCCATGTGCTCTACTTGATAACGAAAGTTAAATTTCACCTACACATTATTTTTATCAAATAAAAGTCTGGTTTTATCAAGACACCACATATTACAGCTTGGGACACCGATCTCCATTTCCAGATGAAGACTGACGGGTTTAAGTTGTTTGAAAACTTATCACAAATATTGAGATAGTTGCTCGGCCCTTAGCTAGAGGATTTTAAGGGATTTTAGCACAAAATTAAGTAGTTTTATTCTCCAAAAAATATCGGGATTAGCCCTTTAAAAAAAGTTATTTCAGTAGCAAACGAATTGAAAGAATGAATTTTTCAAACGTTGTATTTGAGAAATGTGGAGATTTGTAAGATTCGATACGTTTGTAGAAGACCATAATGTAGCATTTTAATCTCCGCGCAAAGTGTGTGTGTGTGGTTGCTCTTTTTTTTATTGCTTATTATAAGTTTCATATCCATATAATTGTTTCGTGGTGGTGCAGCGATTGGTTTAATGTGTGCGTTTTAGATCATAAGTTCCGGCACTTAGTCAAGAGAATTGGTTTCAATTCCCAACTAGTAGGCCTACGTAAATAAGGGGTAGGATTGCATGTCAAACCTCGTGGGTTTTCTCCTGGTCATCTGCTTTCCTCCCACTGTTAAAGACCACTACGCAAAAACGAATTACTGAAATAAAATTTCACTAAATGTTAGTCCCGAAACGACATAGTGGGCGTTACACCTCTCTCTCTCCCTCTCTCTTTGTATTGTTTCAAACAAATTTAAGGGTGAAAGGTCGCATCAACTAAAGATACGATATCCCAAACTAAAAGACACCCGTAGACTTTCACACCTTTCAGATCATACAAAATAAAAAAAAAGGCGATGTTTTACTACAGTACCAAAAATATATCGATCCAAACATTATTAAAATCGATGGATTCTAACGTGAATTACGGCCGTTTAAAGCACAGAATCATAATTTCTCTATCAACCTAGAACGATTCCATCCCGGGGGGGGGGGGGATGGCTGAATGGTTAGCACGTGCGCGCTGTATCATAAAGTCTGTCGCTGAGTCAAAGTCCCCTGGCGTGGTTTCGATTCCCCTGTTGTACGTGACAAGGAGTATAAGGGTCCGTGGGGTTTCTCCGGGTGTAGTACTACCGACTTCTTTATTTGTTGTGTTTGTGATCGTAAATAATAATACTGTAATAATAGTTTCACAACTTTATTTCTAAGTTGTACTGGCTTTGCAGGTTCCTCGTTCTCAATGGTAATGGCTGGTAGGAATTTCTGGGTGAGCTCTAATCCAGCTCGCCTCTACACCCTAATTTATACCCCCTAATTTCTGCAGGTCTTCGATAACCTTGACGTGAATTTCCACTCCATATAAGGAATAAAACTCTTTATTTCCCACAAATAAGATAGATTTACCTGTTTTTTGTCTATCAACCATAGGTCAATAAACAGCTAGAATTTGATGACTATTTTGACAATGATTATAATTTAACCAAAACATCACTGTTTTTTACGAACAACTATATATCCACGTTCATTTAGTACTGTGTGATTTGACTTTATAATAGACAAAATTGAAGGGACAATTTTATAAAAACCCAAAATTGTCTCAAGGGCCAAAGTGCTACACGGGTCCTCCGATTTCCTCAGACTGCTAAAGACCCCTACGCGCAAGCGAATTATGGAATAAAATTGAACCATATATAGTCCCGGTATGACCTAGTTTGTGTCGAGTGGACTTTATAAACCCCATTTCTTTCTCTGTCTCTTTCTTTCTCGATTATATCCCGGATGTATATTAATTTTCCTATGATATTTATCCTCGCACATTTTATAAATCTATTGGGTTTTTTTTTTTAAAAGGGGGAGGTAATATAAACCTAGTTTGTTCCCCAATCCTTTTCGGGCAATAAAATACTGTTTATAAAAAAAGATGACCGAGAAACTTTTTGTTCGAATTAATAACATAAGAAAATAAGATGGTCTGCAACCTGAAATATGGGGTTATCTCCCTCAGGTAGATCTCTAACGAATGAAATGAGTTTCTCAAAACTAATTATCTGAGAAAACAATAATGTTTTTTGTTTTTCTGACTAAATTATTGGTTGTATACACATGCTGAATCCTGTACATACTTGAAGTTGTCCGAATCCAACTCAAGCAGTCGGCTGCAAGGAGTATAACTTATAAAAATGGCTACTTCTGAAGAAATGAGGCCAAAAAAGGGTATTTTAAAACGTTCTTCCAGTTTAGATCAACGAACCGAGTGTTCTCATTCTCAGTCCCATAAAGAAATGTCCTGGGATGAAATGAATATATTAGCAACTCATCATCCGCCAGACAAGGATTATGGTCATATGAAAATAGATGAACCACCCACGCCTTACAGCAAGAATAGTGATGTTGAGGACGATGATGTGATTGAAGGCGAAGGTGAAGTCGAAAGAAGGGGGAGTGTTGGTAAATCCTGTAGTCTTGACCCCTCGTCATTAACAGCCAGACTATCAGATCATACGGACACTACAGTTCTATGTCATCCTCGATTAGCTGATGATGAAGAAGATGATGATGATGATGAGGATGAAGAAGAGACTGAAGAAGATCAGGAAGAGCGACATAAATTTGAGCTAAAAAGAAAACTTCATTATAATGAATTCCAAGCTGTGCAACTTGCCAAGAAATTAATGGCCGAGGAAGATGATGAAGATGAGGAAGACGACAGCAATGTAAACATGGAGGAACAATCAAAAAATACTCCAGCCGAATCTCAGAACAAAGAGAAATAATGCAAGCAACTGATGAAATTTAAAAAAAAAAAAACGCTTTTAAAAATTTAGTAGAAAAAAATTCCTCTTAGTGCTAACTAAAATGTGAAATAATTGTTGGAAAGATAAACGAAATTCATTTAAAGTTGTTGCCTATGAATGTTGGAAAATAAAGGCCTATATGCGAGAAAGGACATCGATTGAATGCCAAGTGTAGGCCTGTACCCTGTTGTTAATAGGCCTATAAACCCAAATACCCCGGTACCTACTTGTACTTGTAATGGCCCCTGCTTCAAAAACCATTTTATACGTGAAATTTTCTTGTTTGGGTAAATGATCATGTACGACTTGCAATACATCTATACTACAGCATTAGACTGTTGAAAAATATGGTTTATTAAAAACAATATTTCATGAGTTTGTGTTGTGGTGATTTGCGTTATCAGCACTAATCCAAAACGTTAGATGTTACTCTTTGATATGCTGACGACTTGACATCTGACCAGTCAAAATCTTGGCGCAAAGGTTGATAACTAGTTAACTTCTTTCTTCAGTGGATGGCAAAATTCAACATTTTCATTTATCTACACTGCTAACAAGCAACTGCAAACCATTAAACAGGAACTTTACAGAGGATGTGTCTCAACAGCATATGTGTACATGTAGTATCGAAAACACTGCAACGATAGATAAAATGGTATTTCGTTTCGAGTTACATATATATTTGAAAGTCATATATAGGTAAACCTAGTCCAACATGGTGTAGAGTATAAATCTTTAAGGTTTAGATACCGTAATTGTCATTTTTGATAGTTTATTGGATAGTTTTTGATTGACAGTGAATTTTATTGTTGTTCAATGATGGACACTTAAATAAGCTCTGGCATGCATGTTGAATTATCGACTGGCACCTTTCATTTTGTGAGTATTTGGTCACTGTGGGAATTTGCATGAAAGTCAACCTGCTTAAGGCCAGAGAGGTTACCTTTAGGCCCCATGGACTAGGCCTATATGATCAGCAGTTACATTGTATTATAGCACATGTAAAAACTTTTGTTAGGAAAAGTTCCCACATGAACAATTGATATAAGATGTAAACAATTGTATTTCTTTAAAGATATTTAGTAGTTGGACATACAATGTACGTGTAGCAATTTAGCAATAAATTACATCTTGATCCCAGAGATAAGTTTACCCTTCATTTATCTCTTGTAAAATCACCGGCCATTTTGAACTTGGCAGCATTTTATTTTTAAAAAATCCTGCCAATCAGTAGCCACTGGGGGCGGAGCTAAGAAACTGATTTCACACTTATTGATGACCGGTGAGTTTTACCATAAATAAACGAATGGTAGAGTTATCTCTGGGATCGAGATTGCAGTAAATTATAAAACATTCTTTATGAAAGAACATGACCAATTCAGTTGGGCCATGGTTTGAATATTATTCTCTCAATGTTTTTACTTGCTTGAAAATGATAAGAGAATATTCTTTAGTAATTGTCCATACTAATAAGTATTACATGTACATGTGGTGCTGGGACGATATATCATTAAATTGATGTATAGGTATTGACCTTCTCACGATTCGCTTCAGTAAGTAACCTGTCACTCTTAATTATCAATAGGTACACAAACACTCTTAAATTGTTTTGGTCCTTATTTTGATCCATATCAATATCGTAATATAAAACAGTTTTATTTCTTCGACATCGGCAGGACTAAAAATATAAATTATTCATTTATCCTGTTGTTTTCTTGGTAAATATTAACATAGTTATGAATTGTGATACGAATCGTATCATAGCACCCAAATAGTGATCCAAATCGTATCATGACTGCATTGGCAACACCCAGCACCAATATTACATGTATTTTATAGTTTATTGAGAACAGTTGGTATCTAGATTCCATGGCTAATGAATTGATACATGTGATGTCTGTAACCATTTGTTACATGTTGACAGTCAGCCAGTTACCATTGATTCCATGCTGGCATACAGTCAGTCTGTTACCATTGGTTACATGCTGGCATAGATAAATTTATTGTTATGCTAGGCTTAAAAAAGCTCTTCTTAAACATACATTATGCAAGAGCTAAATCTGCTTATTGTAGGTCTTTCTTTAGGCCTGAAATGTTATATAAACTATTAATTAGACATCGGATACTCGAGATTTTAACTACCGGTAGATTAAAATGGTTTGCTATTTAAAAATTTAATTTAAAAATGGGAATGCGAGGCTAAGTCCTGATTATACCAGTGCCCTGGTTACCACTGTGCACACATCTTGTCAAAACTACAAACAATGATAACTTGGCTGAGAATGATGTAATTTGAATGAAATTCTCAATATTTTCTTTTTTTATCATCTATTTTTGAATTATTATAGCAATTATGGCCAAATCTTTATTAAACTCTTAACTAATGTATCTTTAATTTGTGGAAATCAAAAATTACTTTCCTTATAATATACATGTACGCTCTTCGAACTTGGACAAGGAGTGTTATATGTATCATAAAGGACAGTTACAAATCTACATGTACATCATGATAAGAATAGCGAATCCTTTCGATCATAAGATAGAGGTACTTAAAATACAAGATTTAGAGTCCATACATACACTGTAACCCAGATATCATTTCATCTTGTGTATTTAGCACTAATTTCTTTCACATTCATTCAATATCAAATCTTTGTTTAAAAAATTTGTAAAAATCGTTTAAAATCACCAAAATATCATCTAATTTGTATTTGTGTCCAGTTTAAAGCTGACCATTCAATTTTGATAATGAGTGTCCCATTTACAAGAGTTTAATTTCTCGATCACTGTTAAAAAATAAACAACTCAATTATTTATTGATGTATAATCATTATAATGATTAATTTTTGAGGCCAGGGAATTAAATACTTGTAAATTGGACACTCATTATGAAAATTAATCAGTCAGCTTTAAATTGGATACATGTACAAATTAGATGATTTGGGGGGATTTTAAACAATTTATACCAATTTTTAAACAACGATTTAATATTAAATGAATGTAAAAAAAATTAGTGCTAAATGCACAAGATTAATGATACCCAGGTTACAGTGATATAGCCAAGACTTTATTCTATGCATGAGTGGCAACTTTTGACTGTTTGTTAATGATATAAAATAAAATATGAAAATTATAGGGAGCAATGTTCAGCTATAAGGTGCTTGAAAAAAGTCTCTCAAGGATCAAGATTCAGGCGCTCGATGAAGTTCAAGCTCTATTGATCAAGAACCTTAAAAAACTGAATTGTCCGATCCCTTAGAGATGCGTTATGTAAACGCTAAATCAGCCTATCGCAGGTGTTTTTTCTGGCTTCAAATCGTACATACATGTAACTTAGACATTAATTCACATGACGAGCCTAAAATCAGCTATCTAGACCGACCTAAAGCTTACATGTCTTCTTGTTGTTAAAATGTAATCTGTGTTCATTAGTCAACTGCTCAAACATTCTGTGATTATTAGCTGAGCCATATTATTTCACAATAAGAATTTGATGCATGTTCAGAACAGAACTATATTCCTCAATCTGATTAAAACACAGATCCTATTTCGTTTTGTTTTTTATAGTTCAAGATTTTGTTTATATAACCCCCGTTTTGGATGATGTGAGGGACTAGCCGATGAAACTGTCTGTTACGGCGAGTTTTTGGCACTATAAACATCAACGCTGATTGTTTAATCAAATGTCTGATGTCATAGGGTCTAAAACAACTTGTATAACCTCTGATGTGACCTCCCACTACTACTCGTCAGATCTTCGTGTAGTAGCGGCCATCGAAAGGATAACAAGAAAAAAATGAAACAAAATATAGATCTGTATTTTAATCAGATTGTATTCTCCTTTAAAGCGGAAATTTCAAATTTTTAAGTTATATTTTTAAAATTTATTAAAATAAAGCCTTAAAATGGATGGCATCCATAAAAAGTCCTACCTTGTTAAAGAATAGTCCTATTAATCCTATAATTCACTATTGCCAGCTGAGAAATTGGCAAAAATATCATTTTCAACTTCAAATTCCAACATTGAGGAAATGGCTGATTATTGTTTTCAATAGGAAAACAAGGGAGGTAATTGTGTTGTTATTTCCTGTGTAAATGAGTTTTAAGTGTGAGAATGACACCTATGAGCGTATAATAATGAGTTGATAACCTATTGAGCAAAAGACATAGAAATAATTATGTTTGGACTTTCTTAGAAAATATGAAATTCTCGCTTTAACAGCATCAACTACCACAATATGATGTTGTTCAGCTAGTTTAAAGAAAAAGCCGATCAGGCAATATGAGTTGGAATAATGCATGGCATAAGGTCAAAAATATAGTAATAAATTGTGTTATTTCCCCAATTTTTTGTCTCTAACATGTCACTTTAAAATCGATATCGATGTTAACTTAGGACAAAATGACTTATACTTGTAAAACAAACAGATCTATGTCTTCATTATTTAAAGTTACAATTTCATATTTTCTAAGAAAGTCAAAACATAATTATTTCTGTCTTTTGCTCAATAGGTTGTCAACTCACTATTATACGATCATAGGTTATCTTTCTCACTCTTAAAAATCTTCACACCGGAAATAATAACACAATTACCTCCCAATTTCCTCCCTTGTTTTTCTATTCCCCACCATGGAATAGCTATCTTCAAACGTTTGAATTTGAAGTTGTAAATGATATTTTTGCCAATTTCTCAACTGGCAATAGTGAATTATAGGATTAATAGGATTATTCTTTAACAAGGTAGGACTGTTTTAGATACCATCCTTTTTAGGGCTTTATTTTAATACATTTTAAAAATATAACTTAAAAATATGAAATTGTAACTTTAATAACATAATGTTTTGTTATTAAAAGTCATATGTTCAAAAGTGAACGTTATTAGTTTTCTAGTGAAATCATAACTGTGTGAGCACTCGAAAATAAAAATTGCATCTTTGTCCCTACATATTAATAAACAACTTAATTATGGTTATTAAAATCTTACATGTTTAAAATCACCTGTGATGAAATAAAATCCATTGTACAGTTGAATATTCCAATGAAAAATTGAACCAAACCAAATGAATCTACAGCAGTACAGATTAACCATATGCTTTTTATTTTGTTGAATTTCAAGCAAATAATAATATTGCCATTTTAACCAGTAAAGTGAAGGAATGTACAATTTTTTAATAAAAGGATATTTATTAATTTTATTATTGTTTGATATTTTTCCTTCATTCGTAGGTGATCACGTGGCTAAGTGGGTAAGACGCTGGCTCGCTAGCCTGGAGGTCGGGTGTTCGATCCCTGCATTGGTCGAGAAAGTTCATCCAGATTTTCCGGCATGGTTCCCCCTTGTCAGTGATGCAGGACGAAGGGCCTGACAAGGACAGCTGTCTAGTCCTTCAGATGAGACAAAAATCCGAGGTCTCATGTATACATTGGAATGCACGTAAAAGATACCTTGGCAGTTGGAATTCGATATAAGAGTAGGCGATAGTGTCGCTGCCCGGGCAAAATTTCCCTCATAGCACACTGTATGGCGTATGCCCGTCTTCATTAGCCCAGCATAGGAGCAGAACAGTAGGACGTTAAACCCCATTTCAATCAAATTTGAAGCAAAATATATCATCAAATCACCCAGTGGAGGTCATCAAAAGTATAAAAAAAACCAAATGAAATATAGATCTGTATTTTAATCAGAATGGTACTAACCCTCACCTGATGAGTGGAGTATCTCAATAATATGAAGCTGGTATGTGCAATGTGAGAAATTTTTTTCAGGCAGCAATTGAATTCCAACTGTCAAGGGTTCTTTTACATGCATGCCAATGTGTACAGGTGATCTCAGTTTTTAGTTCTATCCTCAGACCAGGTGGACTTTTCTGTTTTAAAATTTTGAGAATGTACCGGTACCATGATAACCAGAATTAAACCATGAGACTACGTTTCGAAGATGTAATCAACTGGTGGAATTATCTATTACACAATCTGATTAAAACACAGATCCTACCTCGTTTCGTATTTTATATTTCAAAAATTTGTTTTACTTGTCATTACTACACTAGAATCTGGAAGGGTTGTTATATAACCCGCATTCTGAATGATGTGAGGGATTAGTCAATGAAATGGTCTGTTACGGCAAGATTTTGGTGTGAGGTGCCTGGAACTGTGGGTAACCCACTAGAAATATCAACGCTGATGGTAAATCAAATGTCTGACATCATAGAAACATCAACGCTCATTGGTTAATTAAATGTCTGACATGATAGGGTCTAAAGCCACTCATATGACCTCTGACACAAACTTCCACTACAACTGGTCATATCTTCATGTAGTAGAGGCCAACGAAAGTATAAAATAACAAAACGAAATTTAGATCTGTATTTTAATCAGATTGTTGGACATTTATACCCTGTCACAAGCTGAAATATCTTTCAAATACCGGTATGTCACTTGGTAGTTCAGTAGATAATGTCCTGCAGTGAAATTCTGATATGTTTTAGTTTAACAGTGATGCAGGGCGGAGGGCCTGACACGGACAGCTGTCTACTCGTTCGGGTGGGACGAAAAACAGAGGTCCCATGAACGCATTGGCGTGCATGTAAAAGATCCCTTGACAGTTGGAATTAGATATAAGAGCAGCTAGGCTGTAGTGCCGCTGTCTGGGCAAAATTTCCCTCATATAGCACACTGTATGGCATATGCCCATCTTCATTAGCCCAGTTCGAAGCAGAACAGTAGGATGTTAAACCCCATTTCATTTCATTTCATTTTAGTTTAAATCTGGGAAGAGATCTGGAGAGGGTTCTATATATAGGCATAGCCTGTTTCTCAATTCAATTTCAAATGAAACAAAATATTGGTTATAAAAACACCCGAAAATGATGAATCATGTATCTCTGGTATATATGAAGTCAGACTCACAATATTTTGTAATTGCTTGGTTGACCAACCATTTAAATTATTACATTATTATCACCGCTGGAAAAAAAATTAAGTGGTCTGCGCTAAACCATTTTAGTGGGTTACCTCCCTTTGACAGATTTTCAACGATAGAGATATGTTTCTGAAAGCTAAACTGAAAGTAATATTTTTTTTTCTCTTGAATATTTGGAATGCTCTGATGTGATATTATCCGCATTTCACAATAATGTTTGTTTTTCAATCTAGGTATGTATTAGTCTTGACGTGGAATATATGTTGTTTTTTTTTTGTCGGGGTTCAATTTCAAAACTGGATGTTTCAATTTGTTTGTTTTTTTCAGTGACGTCGAGATGATAACAGATAAGTGATAACAAATATAATATATTTTTCTATGATACCACTGTCATGTGAGAGTGATCAAAATAATGTAAGTATAGATGTATAGTCAGTGACATACAGTGTATTTTCCAACCGGGATACGGGGAAATATGTCCACAACTTATTTGGAAGTAAAGGAAAAATGAAAATTGATAAAAAAAAGAGTAAAAATATTTAAAGTCTTTCTAAGACAGGTATAATTTCTTCCTTGTTTGATGAAACATGTTTTTTGTTTTTTGAGTGATTTGGTTTATGATAATGGCCATGGTAAGAAATTTCCCCTAGGACATTTTCAAATGAAGTAATTTCAAATTTCCCAGGTCACGACACCGACCTAATTTGCCCTTTGGAATGGTCTTTCACATACAAAGTACTCTGAGTGTTCCTGTCCCTTATTAAGCTGCAATATGAACACGCCTGGACATGAGGCACCTGTCACAGACTTCATCAAATACAAATTATCACACAATGCTTGAATTATAATATGTGTGATGATGTCACTGGTTAGCTGATACCGTTGACTATTGATGCAAGGCCTTTTAGTAATGACAATTTTTGTCATTAAGTTATATAAGTGGTTAGTATTCTAAACAACATAGTGGCGTCATTAATTAGCAGGTGTGTATAACTAGCTGTAAAAGATGTCACTACTGGTGTAAAAGCGTGACTATTTATAACACCCATCACTATTGAATACACAAACCTGGACGATAGTGGAACATATCATTCAAGACAAAAGTCACAATTTTAACACCTTAGTGACAAAACACCTACAATGACTATAGCCTGATTACTAACAATTTTAATTAACTAATACACATTATGTATACATGTATGAAACTGACGACTTTGATCTATTAGTATGGTATATTTTCATATGTAACAGGTGTAACATATGTTACATTTCATATGTAACTTTTGCAAACATTAGAAAATGGCACGCCTCAGGGGTCGGTTATCAGTCCCACTCTCTTCAATATCATGATCAACGACATACAGAAATCTTCCTACCTCGACGCCAAAACTGAGTTAGCTAAATTTGCTGATGACAGTACCATATGGAGGAAAGGGAGGAACTTCTGTTAACTACAAAAGAAAATGCAGAAGGCCTTAGACAAATTCATGGCATGGGCAAACGATTGGTTATTCAAAGTCTCGGAGAAGAAAACAGTCGGCATGCTTGTAAGCAGGGATAGAGGGATAAGCAGAATGACTCTGTGTATGAACGTGAAAACCATCGTGTTTAAAGACCAAACCAAGTTCCTTGGCGTAATCTTTGACCGAAGGCTGACCTGGAAACTGCACATCGACGAGACTGTAGATAGATGCACCAAAATCCTAAACTTAATGAGGAAAATAACGGATAGCACTTGGGGGGCCAACAGCGTCACACTAATGATGGTGTATCGTGCTCTAATACGATCTGTATTATACGACGGCTCTCTGTCCTTCATGAACTGCGCGCCATTACTCTTAAGGAAGCTTGACACCATCCAATACAAAGCTCTGTGTATTGCGACTGGCGTAGGGCAAGGGACTGGGAGAGAGGCACTACTGCAGGAAGTCGGGGAGTTGCCCCTATCCCTAAGAAGAAAAGAACTAGTGGCAAGGTACTGGGCTAAGATCTCGCAACTGGGCGAAAGATCCCTAACCTTTGTCAGTCTACAAAATACAAGATATGTGAGAGATCCTAGAAAGAAAAGCTTCGGCTAGGGTATCAGGGAAACAATCAAGGAACTGCGACTGGGGGAGCTCGTGATAAATGAACACGACCCCCAGTGATCGCCCCTTGGACGCTCCCTATACCGCCGGTTAATCTAGATCTACTACAGAAAACCGACAAGAAAAATAACCCCACTGCTGCGCACGTGCTTTCTCTCTAGAACACCTGGAAGACAACTGGCCGTCTGATGACTGGGACCATGTGTACACGGATGGCTCACACAATCCTGAAAGGGGCACCAGCTCGTTTGGAATATACCTGCCAAACGGGGAACAGGGAATAAGCAGGAAACTGCCCAATAACTGTTCGGTGTACACTGCAGAGCTTGTGGCCATTCGTGACGCTATATCATGGATTTCCCATCAAAAGACTAATAAGTTCGTCATTCCAAGTGACACTCTGAGCAGTCTGATTTCAATCCAAAATGACAACTCCGACTCAAGACCAGAAGTTATTTTGGAAATCAGGCAGCTGTACCAGAGGGTTTTAGAGAAGGGAAGCAAAGTAGAACTCGTGTGGATTCCATCACATGTCAACATTAGAGGAAACGAGGAGGCAGATCGACTCGCCAATGAAGGTCTCAAGGACACAGCACCACTCCGCACCATAGATTACAGCACCACGGAAATCTACAGTATGGTCAAAAGACACGTCAATTCAATCTGGGAATTAAATCTCGTTGAACTTGACACATACAGATTCCGGCTGGATGACAAGATCTACACAAAGACAACACTCAATCACCCTAGAAGAGATATTTGTAGACTTATATCGAAGCTAAGGGTGAAAGAGCGGCTGCGAGACTACAAACACCAAGTCATCATCTGTGAGTGCGGAGAAGAATGTACCACCAACCATGTCCTGGTAGACTGCGAGGTATACAAGGAGGAGAGAAGGGAACTAGTGAGCACAATGGAGTCCAACAACATACATGTACCATTCAACACTAAGAACCTACTCTTCCCGAGACCAGATCTGAAACTGCAAATCTTCGAACAAATCCACGCCCTAATGGACACAGTTGGACTAAGTAGAATAGTGAAGTAAGAGGGGGTCACGGTTAATGGGTTGTTATTCGTACTTATATTTTAATGTGTTGTAAATGTTTTCCTTGCCGACAAGGGGGGTTCGATGGCCGAATGGTTAGCGCGTGCGCGTTGTATCATAACGTCTGTCATTGAGTCAACTGACGTGGTTTCCATTCCCCGGTAGTACGTAACAAGGTGTAGGGTAGCCTGTTCAACCTCGTGGGTTTTCTCTGTGTCCTCCGGTTTCCTCCCACTGCTAAAGACCCCTACGCCCAAACGAATTATTAAAATAAAATTGAACCATGTTAGTCCCGAAATTACCTCTTTTGTGTCGAGTGGACGTTAAACCCCATTTCTCTCTCCTTCCCCACAAAAGAAAAAATATGCGACACTCTTATTGACTGCCCGGACGACTTAACTGCTGTGGGCGTATATTTTGTTGTCTGGCAACCTATCTTTAAAATCCACAACAGGCCAATGAAAAATATAATAATTATTTGGTGTGAATGGGGTATGCTGCATTGACTGGAATACGTTTTACATTCACGATTTGTCAGCCACAGAACAAAATAACCATGTGCGAAAAAAATAGCATGTGCGATGATGTAGGAAAGGTATTTTACAAGATTACAAATTATCTAAAACATGGCCAAACAGAAATTTATCCCAGTTCGCTAGATTTTGCGTATTTGGAACTATTGGATGCGTTTTCTAGCTAATGATACTATTTCGCAATCTACATTGAAAAATATTTATTTATTGTTTTAACTGCATGTATACTAACACGGTGTTTCTTGTTATTTATAATACAGTGCACGCATGAAAATGCATGGTCTGTTTTGACAATCACCGGGTTAGTATGTTGGGGTGTTCATTTATATGAACACCTACTTTTCCTCAAATGGTCACCTGTGGACGTGCTAAAACAACACATTACAGGTTGATCAGTAACTTGAACACCCGAGTCAAAACAAAGGGTCCAGTGTGTAAAGCTTAATATTGTAGCTTAGGAGGTACATGTACAGGCAGGAATGCTCAGAGGAATTCGTCCGTGAGAGACCATTTCGAAATAACTATCGCCACACTAACTAATCAATATAACATCGTCAAATAACTGAATTAAACTCTGAACTAATTACATATACGTACATGTATATATAATTATGCTATATTTAATTAATAATTGATTGACTATAACCAACTGTAATTATAAAGGATTAACTTGGATCAGTGATGTGTTAACTCTTTATTATAGATAACAATTGACCCGGGTATAGAACATTATTCAGGAACTTTAGGATTAATTGTAAATTCATCGATCCCCATCGACAGTATGAAATTTTTCATGACTTAATCATCGTCAAAGTCTAACATAAACCAAAGGCATATTAATAGAAATTACCATGTATTGAAATCATGTATTGTCTACTTGCAATTGAACAGGTATGTCGGTATATGTATTATTTCCATATCTTTATTGTCCCCCGCCTTCGAGAGAAAGCTGGGGACTATTAAAATGTGTTTGTCCGTCTGTCTGTCTGTCTGTCTGTCTGCCTGCCTTGATGGAGTTCGAAGATGAGCATTTTCTGCTAAGGGTAAGCAGAGATAAGGAATTTTTGGTTGATGTAGTTGCACGTTTGTCTGGAGTTTCAAAACACAGTTTTTTAAATTGACTTGTTTTTGAAACAAGGTATTTTGTTCAGAACGAGATTGGGTAAAAATGCCTAGTTTACTAAACGTGTTTGTTTTCAATTTATATCGCAGACAAGAAATTAGTGTTTATCTAATCAAACACCATCTAATAATCCATTATTATTATTCAAAAAAGCATAAAATTTCATATTTCCAATACGCCAGTTTATATTTTATCTTTACTGCAGAAAAATAACTTGACTATAGCATTGACTATGTTTCTTTGGAAACCCCTTGACATTGCACAAAATGTCATTATTGGAGCACAGTTATATATACTTGTACGTTCAGCGATGAATTTGTGGGCTCATACCAATTATCAATTAAATGGAAAATAAAGCACACAATTCATACATTAAAATTTAATTAAAACAGTTAATTATGAAGACATATGGATATCAATAATGTGATAATAATTTATGGTATGGTTTGTATTCTTGTCTTTTCTATTTCTGTGTTTGAACATTTCTCTGATTATAATATTATAGTTTGGACTGGTTTTATTTTCGTATTAAAGGGCTAATCCTGATAATTTTTTGGAGAATAAAACTGTTTAATTTTGTTGTAAAATCCCTTAAAATCCTCTACCTAAGGGCCGAGCAAGTAACTCAATATTTGTGATAAGTTTTCAAATAACTGAAACCCGTCAGTCTTCATCTGGAAATGGAGACCGGTGTCCCAAGCTGTATTATGCGGTGTCTAGATAAAAGCAGACATTTTTTGTATAAAAATAATGTGTAGGTGAAATTTACCTTTCGTTATCAAGTACAGCATTTGGGTCATTCACTGTATAGATCTCTCAATGAACGGGAATCGATTATCAGGTCACCCAATGAAAAAATTGACCCAAAATCTTAAAAGGGTTTCATGTCCTGATAAGCAGTTTGGGCGGTCATGTCCAAACGACTCAATATTTTGAGCTGAAATTTTGAGATAACGTCAATACACCATTCCTCTATATATTGGCATTTAAATTTCATACATACTCAGACTTTTATTTTTGAGACTCTGTTCAAATAAGGGATAGTCCCTTTAAATAACAGAAATCTTAATTTTCACAAATTCCTAATGGATGTATCAAACAATACTCAGGATGATGCGGCCATAACACTGTCCAAATTATCTTTAATGAACGGCAAACAATTATCAAATCTCTCCCATCCGATAAACAAAACATTTGTGTCTTACTTTATGGAGACACCAGATCCGACAAATAAACTGGTTAACGAAAATATTGTATGTGCTGTTCATGCTTTAATTAATCTAACCAAGCGCTTTGACATTCAGGGCCGGCGGAAGCAATTCTTGATTGGTGGGGCTACCATCCTAGGACTTTAGGTGAGTGTCCCGGGGCCGCCTAGGCCCGGAAGCTCCTGGGGATCTAGAGACGCTTTCTGGCTAATGATATTACTGAGCAATGAAGTGAAATTTTATTTCTTTTCCAAATTCGATGGTGATTTCCTGCGATGCTGAACTTGACAAATATACATGTATGCATAATAATTCCAAGGGTGTGGACACTCTAGAGGTCACAATTTTTATACGATTTTGATGAAACTGACAATGTATGTTTATAACTGAAAGATCTCAACACTTTTAGCTTGTGGACCCTCTAGACCTCACAGTTTGTATTTGATTGTCAAAACCGTTCAAATATATCACTGCTGCACCATAATGACGGCTGAGTTTAAATTTCGTGAAAATTGGACCGAAACTTCCCGACAAAATGGCTGTTACCCTTAAAAACATGTAATACCCAGATTGTGGGCCAGGGGTTCAAATTTTCATCAAAGTTTGATATATCCTACGAAATATCACGTTTTTAGCTTGTGAACCCCTTAGAGGTCACCATTTTTATCTTATTTTCAAAACCGTTCAAATGTATCAGCTTTACACTATAATTATGGTTGAGTCCGAATCAAAAGTTCTTGGATGAGTTTGACTTTGGTACACAGAATACCTCACCACATTCTAAAGCTATAGCCCCTAGCAAAATAAACTGCCCGAAATCTAATAACACACTAATTTTACTTGAATTGAATACCACAAATTTGTATTGAATTGACTATGTATTAAAGTATTATGTCTGGAGTCACATTACTTTGCACAACATTTTTTGGACATTGATTATTTTTTGTGAATGCAGCTGCAACAGTCTGATTGGATGGTTGGAATTCAGGTCGGCATAGAGTGGGATTTCGGATGAAAACCGATTTGAAACTTTGAAGTTGCTTAAATCATGGGCTAGAATAGCAGAAAAACGCATTTCTTGTGGTAAAATTTTTCTCGGGGAGCGCGAGGTCCCCATACCCCGCGACGATTGATTGGTTGTTTGGGAATTGGGATTTAGGTAAGTCACCTAAGGTACTATATATTGGACCACATTGAAGTATCTGTATTCACGGGCTGGTCTAGCAGGAAAATGCGTTTGCTGCAGATAAATTCATCAAGCTCGTATGCCTATGCATCACAGGACCATTTTATGTATAGATTTATCTGATATTTCTAGATTTATCTTGATAAAAGGACACTCACTGAAACGTGAAACACCCTTCATAAAAGGCTTCTGGATATTAAACAAATTTAAAAATCACGTCATGCTCCAAATGTATAAATAGGCCTAATGAATTTATTTATCGTTGATCTTATACATACGTATACATTTTCTCTCATCGTCCTCTTTATATTATATATTATTATTGGCATACTTATTCAAAAAGGGTGTTACTCTAATATCTATTTTTATTTTAAACATAGGGGCATAAATGGTCTGACAATTAATTTTATTCACACAAACCAGTGAGGTGTTACATAGAAATAGAAGATGTTAATACAACCATCTTAATCCAATATCCCATTATCACCATTTGCGCAAGAAAAAACGTGTCTGGGGCCGTCAAATTTTACAAATTGTCTTTAAGGGGGGGAGGGTGTCCTACACCGTAAGCTCTGCTCCTTCGCCTCTCGCAGACGACAGGCACCACCATCTTTAACCCGAAATTAATTTTATGGGGCATTTCAGGTTCCGCCCCCTATCGTATATCTAAAGGCATAATTACTTGTGTGCAATAACCCGGAGAAAAGAGAACTTGTGGACAAATTATAGGGGGGGGGGGGAAGCTAGCATGACATTTAACAATAAATAACTATCAACTCCAAAAAAGATTTTTATCAACCCTGTAAAGTAGTATTTCGATATAGTTTATTCTAAATTCATTACGGATTTTAGAGTAATGAATATAAACTAAGCAGTAGAGTATCAACCTTTTTTGGGTTCTGATGTTAGTTAACTCTTGATTATATTCTTTCTGTAATCTTATTATATATGTACTTTAATACTCTACATACATGGTTATATTGTATATATGTATCTTGCTTTTGGGAAACCGATTTATATAAGCCATTGGTTTGTTTCATTATCCCGTAAATAAAATATTGGTTAAATAAAAAATATTTTTCTTATTCAAAGTTAGATTTAACATCTTCCCATCAGGTAAAGACTGTTTGTCTTTGGTATTTATTACAATTTTATAATAAAATGTATAAAACACCGACTTTGAGTTTTGACTAGCATATGCCACTGAAGTTATGGAAAATTCGATGTCCGATTTATGTATAGTTCACAAGCAGTATCACAATACAGACATGTGACGAGAAGCTTAATATAAATAGGGCCTATATATGTAATTTAATACCCTGTAAAAGTTTACCATAGTATACCGTAATCAAATTGTTTACTGTCTTCGTTACACGGATTCAAATCACAAATCCGCCCAAGCTAGAAAACTACAAATTCGAAGATCTTTCTTTATAAAAAAAAAATCACTTTCCATTAAGTCATCTATTTTTGGATTTGGGGTAATTAAATCTTATTTTCTCATAAATACAGATTGCCGTAATATTTAATTATCGTTACAGTATAGTATAGTAAGCAAAAACTATGAACAAAATCATGTCCCAAATAAATATCTAATATTTAGTTCTACAATTTCAGAACATTATTTGTGTGGTTCTATTCGCTGATAGCAAATACCGCTAATAATTATCTTGGAAAAAAAACACGTTTAGTAAATGAGGCATTTTTACCCAGCCTCGTTCTGAACAAAATACCTCGTTCCAAAAACGAGGCAATTTAAAAAACTATGTTTTTGAACTCAGGGCTTGCCATGAGCAAATTGGAGCCGAGTAGATGACTACTCACGCAAATATAGACTTGCGCGAGTGAGGCGAGTACATGTATTTACTCACGCAGAATGATGTGCGTGAGTAGCCATTTAAATTTCATGTGCCTAATGGCAATGCTCTTGTCACTTCGGTGGAAGCGGACGTTGAATAAAGCTATTTCACACACAATGACAATGTCAATGCATACTCTTTTATTTCCTTGGCAGTAATATTATCTGTAAATCGTCTTCCCATGACAAGAACGTTGCAAGAGAAACTGGGCTTCCCTTTGCCATCGTTGGCGTGCTGAGGGGATTCGGGTAAAGCTTAGAAAGGTAAAAGAACAGGCAAAACAATTTCAATCCCATCAATTTGCAGAAAAGATGCGGGATCGAAAGAATTGCTATTAATAGAAACGACAACATCCGCTCAATGTTTGATTATCCATACACGGCAAAGGACATCTGCTTAAAAACCGCCTGGCAGTACACGTCTCAAAGTATTTTTAGTAACAACAGTTGGCACTGGAAAGACACGCCGCGTGCGCAATAGTGCATCGATATGAAGGCATACAAATTGTTTACGGCTTTTTATATTACGATATTCAATTATTTCTGATTAAATTATTTTTTATATTTGCGCGAGTACTTAATCACCCTCGTAAATTTGGTTTTACGCGAGCGTAGCGTGCGCGCGAGTAATTACTTGCGTCTCGTGGCAAGCCCTGGAACTCCAGAAAAAAAGGGCATTTTTTTTACCTTGTTACAACATGGCAAAATCGTGGCAAAAATTTTAACATGCTTTTGCCACGTTTGGACAAAAATGCCGAACGAGGCATTCTGGGGTTTATAGTGTGAGTAGTGTTTGTTGTGTAAAAATGGAGTTGTATGCGGAAAAAAACCCTGTTTATAGCAAATGAGAAGGTTTCCCAGGCCTAGATCAGTTTTTGTGCCCCCCCTTTCGAAGAAAGCAGGGGACTATTAAAATGGGTTCGTCCGTCCGTCTGTCTGTCCGTCACACTTTTTGAGACACAATAACTCTCTTTCTAATTGAGCTAGAATGTCCAAACTTGGTGTATGTGTTTATTAGGTCAATACCTTGACGGAGTTCGAAGATGATCATTTTCTGCTTAGGGTAAGCAGAGATAAGCAATTTGATTGGTTGATGCTTTGGGACACGATAACTTTAGTTCTAATTAAGTGAGAGTGAGGACACTTGGTGTATAGCTTTATTACATCAATATTGAATATTTTCTGCTGAGGGTAAGCAGAGCGATAAGCAATTTGATTGGTCGAGACTTTGGAACACAATAACTCTCCTAATTGAGGTAGAATGTTCAAACTTGGTGTAGGCATTCATTAGGTGAATCCCTTGATGGAGTTCTATGATGAATATTGTCTGCTTACGGTAGTCAGAGATAACTTTGATTATAATGAAGTGAGAGCGATGAAACTCTGAATATAGATTCATTATATCATTACCTTGACTAAGTTCGATTGTGCGAATTTTCTGCCTGGGCTAAGGAGCGATAAGCAATTTGATTGGTCAAGACTTTGGAACATAAAAACTCTGCTTTTAATTGAGGTAGAATGATTAAACCTGATGTAGATGTTCATTAGGTGAATGTCTTGACTGATTTCAATGATTAACATTTCAAGCTAAAGCTAAGCAGAGCTAATCAATTTCATTGGTCGATGCTTTGGGACAAGATAATCTTGATTCTGTCTGATAGAGAGTGATGGAACTTAGTGTGTAGTTAGATTGCTCGATACTTTTGAAAAGAATAAATGTGCGATTAATTAATATGTGTCATCTATTTATTTTGGGATTTCGGCGGGGGACATCAGCCTCACTGTTGGCTTGTTGAATAAATTATGACATCGTACACATCGGTGGCGTGATCCGCAGTAAACAATCATGGCTTCCTTCAGCAACAGTTTCATAGTGGACTATTGACGTCTATCTATTTATGACGTCAGAAGGAATTCCAGATGTGATTATCCAGGTCTACCATCTTTCACGACTGGAACATCGCTAAATTTTATACGCCCAGATTGAAATGTGGTTGTATATTGTCATCGCCTCAGTCTGTCGGTGTGGCGTCAATAATTGCTTGTGAACGCTCTAGAGGCTAAAGTTAATATCTGATTGACTTTAAATTTATAGACAGTGTTTAAGGTTATGAGAGACGATTTCCGATAATTGCTGCCAGAGTTATGGCCCTTGACCTCTTGAAAAATCGAGTGGACATGTTAAAGGCTAAATTTACATGTAATATCCGATTGACACAGTATTTAAGTTTAAGGTCATGAGACAAAGAATCCTATTAATTTTTAACGATTTCCGATAATTACTGCCATAGTTATGGCCCTTAGTCACTTTGAAAAATCTTGTGGACGCTTTAGAGGCTAAAGTTAATATCCGATTGACTTAATATTTAATACAGTGTTTAAGGTCATGAGACAAGAAGCCTATGGAAATTGATATTAAATGTTCTGTATGGTAAATGTTAGAATAGGGCAGAACTAGAAGCCAAATGGGTTGTTACTTGTAATTAGATTTTGTTGTAAATGTTTTCATTTCTGACAAAAGACAAAAATATGCGACAACCCTTGTTGACTCCCCAGACGACTTAGCTGCTGTGGGCGTATGTTTTGTTGCCTGGCAACCTATCTTTTTGATGGTCAAAGACTACCATTTTTGAATGGACTAGTGCACTGATGTAAATATTTACTTTCTACATCCGAATTGTTGTATTTTAAAACTTATTGTGGACGTATCCAAAGAATTAACCGAATAACACAAAATCTCGTTTGAAGGTAAATAATCAACAAAGATATTAAAATACTTTTAGTTGATATTATATAATGATTTGGTGTCGAAATGGCGCTTATAACCTCTACTTTGGATATTAGGGAGGGATTAGCATGTACTAATGGAATTTAAAAGAAAACTTATCATTTCTGGACGTTTCCATGGATACCAGACAAAAGCCTATAGCCAAATAATGTCATTGGGTTTCTTGGACTTATAATTAGCATTGTTCATGCCAAATTTAATGGAAATCCATGCAGGCATAACTAAGAAAATAATAACATTTGTAGTCATCAGCACCCTTTATTACCATGCTTTTTGGCCAAGTTTGGAATACAGTTGGTAAAAAAAATTGGTATTTCTTTGGTGATTAATATGTAGTTTATCAACCCAAATAACAAAAAAAGTCATATCTTCTGAACAAAACTTACAGTGCTAGCTTTAAAATGTGCACTTTAAACTGCTAAATGTCCTTAAGACATGGTTGGAATATGTAGGCTATTGTCTATATCGTTATTGTTAGGCCTGGAAATAGTACATGTACCTAACATTTTTAACTTTGTGCCAGACATGTATTAATGATATCAATAAAAGAAGCCAGAGAACTGGCAGGAACCTTCGATTTTATGCCTGAATTTCTGCCTGACATAGGGGATGCTCGATTGAACGTTCCGGAATTTAATTCTGTCAAACCCAAAAATAGTGACAATCGAGTGAAAATGGGATTTGGGGCTAGAATGCATGAGAAAATATCTCAGCCAACCATAACAGCTGAAGCATATTCATATGGTTTAATTATGTCACGATTCCACTCACACCACCTCCACTGTCGGCACTGACAGAACTGTGACAGGACTGAATTCCGTGTCACTGGATTGCAATTCTGTCAATACGGAACATTCCAGGGGTCTTAATTCTAGGCTTGTTTTTTGTAGATGCTTGATTAAGTCATGATTGAGGCTGGAGAATTATCAACATATCTTCATCGTATTGATGCTTTAACTACAGAAGACTATGATCAAATTAAAGGTAAATATAGTCTTCATTACTCCAGTCGTCATTGTCTCTTGTTTCGATAGAGAATTGAAGGCAAGTTTTGGTGTCATGGTTTCCCAGTTCAAGAGATATGACATGAAATTGGGGTTTGACGTCCTTCTGTTCAGGATCAACTAAGCTAATAAAGATGGCCATACGCTATGGAGGAAATGTTTAACCTGGTCATCAGCATTTTATCACTCTCTTTTATGTGGATGCCATGTATACAAAATGACTATGGTGCAGGATGGAGGGCCTGACAAGGATAGCTGTCTAGTCATTTGGATGGGACGAAAAACCGCGGTTCTGTGTACCCATTGGCGTACATGTAAAAGATCCCATGCAGTATTCGATATAAGAGTAGGGCGTACACCAGGATCGAGTCTGGGACCTTCTGGTTAGTGAGTCAGAACCTTACTCACTGAGCCACCATGGTCCCTTTATTTTAAGACAGAATTTATGGAGTGAGGGCTAAGTACAACTGTATGCTAAATGTTGTTTAAATATTTATTTCAGATATTACAAAGAAACATTGGAAGAGTAACGACACCAGAAAATGTTTTACACGGTCTTGTCGTAAACCATTTTCTTTGATTGAAAGATCACATCACTGTCGAAGGTAACTCATTAATGTCTGGATATAACAGTGTTTAATAGGGATAAGTTGTCTCCATGACTACACTTATAACAATCTCCAGGATAACTAGCTACATAGGCATTGTTATTGGCTACACAAGATTTATGTATTTATGTATGTCCACTCGACACAAACTAGGTAATTTAGGGACTAACACATGGTTCAATTTTATTTCAATAATTCGCTTGCGCGTAGGGGTCTTTAGCAGTGGGAGGAAACCGGAGGACCCGGAGAAAACCCATGAGGTTGGACAGGTGACCCTACGCCTTGTCACATACAACTAGGGATTCGAGACCACGCCAGTTGACTCAATGACAGGCCTTATAATACAGCGCGCAGCGCGCACGTGCTAACCATTCGGCCATCCACCACCCCCCATCCCCCCCATGTCATTAAGACTTGGTGGGCCTAGATGCTCAATTTCTTATATGTGGCAGTGACACAAGGGATGTATTTAACAATGGTACGGTAATGTGGGATTTTTTTTCTGAGCTGTTTAATTTTCCCTTTTGTTGAATTGTTGTTATAAAGAGCCATTTGCTGTGAAATGTGCCATGTCAGTAAGTGCTATCACGCTATCACGCTTGGTAGTCAAATAAGAGTAGGCCGTAACTTGGCTGTCATGGCAAGATTTCCCTCATAACAGTCTGTCTTATCAGACGGTGCAGGAAAGTAAGAAGTTTGACCCCATTTTATTTCTGAAAAAAAAATCACTGTATTAATTAACTAGCTTATGGGTGGTTCGATGATTATGGCGTATGGTTGGATCTTGGTCCTGGCTACAAAAATCCACAGGATTTTCTTGCTACTTTTTCCCTTGTCAGTGGTGCAGGATGCAGGACCTGGCAGGGAACAGCATCTAGTTGTTCTGGGTAGGATGAAAATGAACCCTTGGAAGTTGGAATTTGATGAAGAGCAGGCAAAAACACCGCTGTCTGGGCAAAATTTCCCACTGCGTCATGAGTGTTAAATGACCACACTATATTAAGTCGTGATATGTTTATTCTTACAACCATACACCATTACAACACATAGTGTTATCCCATGCAGGGCTGTTGGTAATTTTTCACAGTTGATTAGCAGCACTGCTAATCAAAAAGTCCAATTGTGCCAAATTTGATTAGCAAATTTAAAAAATTGATAAGCAGTTTTTCAGTTTCAACATAAAACACCTAGATATTACTTTAATTCATAACAAATGATGAGATTTCATTCTTAGATGTCTTTAGCACTGCTACAGTGGCATTTTGTGAATGCCATGTAGACTTTTGGTTAGGTCTTATGTCTGAAGCCAATTCTTGGCAGTGGCTTCCGAAGCCCCACTCATTTTAATTGTTATTTCTTCGTTAGAAAACAATTTCGTCTGCTTTGTATCGTGTGCTACTATTTTTGTTCAATCGGACACACCTGAATATTAATGAATAAATTCGATTAACTAGACTGACGCGATATAAACAATAATATTTTACGGGAATTCTTACTTTGATGTACCAGTATTTATTTTTTTATATTTTATTTACAATACGTGGGGAATACGCTGGATTTATGTCTCGCAGCTTGAATGGTACTAATTGATTCCCTATTTCCGGTTTAATAGTGCCTATTCATAGAGTTATGTCCCTGTATTATATAGTATAATGAATTGTGTCTGGGTAGCTTGAGAAGAACTTGTCACGCGGAGAATTCAGTTTTCTTCATAAAATTTTATTTGACATTTTAATACATGTTGAAAGTGTTGAGGAAGCCTTCTAGTCTTCAAAATGTGGATAAATCTTTGTGTCAATATCCAAAATGACAGGCGTATTAATGATTCGCAGTTACTGTGAATCAAAAACGGTCGATTTTAATTTTTGATTAGCAACAGACAAAATATGTATTGCAAACGGCGCTGTGATACCGGTTGTCAGCAGCCCTGATCCCATGGTTGTACAGAAGACAAGTGCATGCTTTACCATAACAACTAAGTCTATGGTTGTGCACACACACAACTCATTACTATTCATATATATAAAGGTCATGAATATTCATGTTAACAATGAGTAGAGTTGAGTGTAAAGTCATTCCGATGATATATAGAAATAAAGAAATTGATTTTCTCTCTGAGAGTGATTAAGCCTGTTTATATTTTCTGTGTGAAAGTGATTAAGCCTGTTTATATTTCCTTTGTAAAAGTGATTAAGCCTGTTTATATTTTCTGTGTGAATGTGATTAAGCCTGTCTATATATATTTTCTCAGGTTTATTTTTTAGATATGGGAAAGTGATTAAACCTGTTTATATTCTATATATTTTATTGTAGATGTGGAGAAGTGTTTTGTTTTAATTGTGTGAAATATCAACGTAAACTAAATAAATTAGCCAATCCTGATCCAGATGGAAAATCTTACAAGGTCGTTAATCAATTAGTATTTCTAATAGTGTGCTCTTTTTCTTCTTTTAATTTTTTATTTTTGTCCCACGCCTTTCGAAGAAATCAAGGGAACTATTAAAATGGGTTCGTCCACAAGCTTTCTTTAGATACCATAGATATCATTTGATTGATTTTATATTTATACACTGTGTTTACGCCTATATATAATCGTTTCGATAGACTTTAGATTGATACACAGAGTTTACGGTCTTGAGACGAACAAGTATATTGATTTTCAATGATTTTTGATAACTTGAACAGCTAAATCCATGATATTAAAGATACATTATGGAAGGTGAGATTAAGAGTTGCCAGTTCTAACTATAATAGTTAAAAACTAGATAATATAAAGGGGATATGCTGAAAACTTGGTTATCCACTTTTGGATTTAATCATGAATGAGCGCTGAGCAGCAGAACTAAATAAAATCCAATGAAAATCCGCCACATAAGATGCCATTGAGAGTTGATTAAGGTCTTTTCATGTTCATAAATGTCTAATTAATAGTTTAGATAACATTTCAGGCCTAAAGAAAGACCTGCAATAGCCAGATTTAGCTCTTGCATAATGCATGTTTAAGTGTTTTGTATACTAAACGTTAGCATGGGCCAAACAAATTCTAATGATTTTCTGATAATTACTTAATGAGTTGTTACTCTTAATCAGATTTTAGTGTATTATAAATGTTTCATTACTGACAAAAGTAAAAATTTGCGACAACTCTTGTTGACTGCCTGGACGATTTAGCTGCTGTGGACATATGTTTCGTTGCCTGGCAACCATTTAATTAATCCTAATTTGTCGTCAAAATTCATGTTTGTTTTTAATAATGCATGAATTATGGGATTTATTTCGGGAAGGGATGCAACTCTTACTTGACATGGCAAAAAATACTGGATAATCAACCACAAAAAACAAAAAAAAAAACAACTCCTGGTTTCGCATGGGCAATGGAACTTTTTTGTCAAATGTTGACATTGAAGACTACAAGGTTCTGAGTGACCGAGACTACCTATTGCAGGTCTTTCATAATCATTAAATCTGTTGTGGTTGTATAATTCATTGGCTGGCAACTAGTGGTGGCACGATATATATCTTTGAATGGATGTATCGCTATTCACCTTCTAACAATTCGCGTATTAATCAGGAGACACTGAATCGATGTTTAGCGATTTTTTTTTTTTTAAGTTATTTTTGTGGCCTCAGTAACTAAACCTGTCACTCTTAATTATCCACATCACACATCATCCATAGGTACACAAACATCCTTAAATTGTTTTAGTCCTTATTTTGATCTGTCAGTCACAAGTAGACAAACGAACATTTCGATAGTAAAATATCAATTATTCATTTATCCTGTTGTTTTCTTCGTAAATATTGACCTGGTTATGAATAGTGATACAAATCATTTTGTGACTGCACCACTCAAGCTACCTTTTTTGTAATGAAATATTTACTATTCTAGGTGTGTTTTTGTTGCTATGAAGAGGGGAAAGTTACCGAGGGGGTCCAGAGAAGCTGGTTGAGTGACTTCAAACAATTTCGAGTTGCTGGTCAGAATAATCGGTGGGCTTTAGCCAATGGTCAGCAGACGAGATCAAGACGAAGCCGACTGAACCTGGACACAGAATGTCAGAGGTTGATCCAGGGTTTTAAGAACAACATCACAAGGTCAGAGGTCAAACGAACACTGCAAGAAATGAGAAGCATGGTGGCAAAACCTGACTGGCAGAAATCGTCAATATGGATAGTAAGTTATTGTTGCTGCAGCGTCAGAAGGTCAAATCCCTGTTTTCACAAACTATTCAGGAGATCAAGAATTATATATCATAGGAAAAATTCCCGTCAAAATATTGTACAAGTTATCTGCCGATCTGTATGAAATTTATATGTGTCATTTACATTAGTAAAAAGAAAAATCCTATTGAATTTCAGCAATTTTCGTTTATTACATCTAGAGTTATGGCTGTTGTTTCACTTTGTTGAACCTTGTGAATGCTCTATCTAATGCCAAAAGTTATCATCCGTCTTTGTGAAATTTATATGGATTATTTAAATTAGTAAAATGAAGAAGCCTATTGAATTTAAGCAATTTCTGTTAATTACTTCAAGAGTTATGGCCCTTGTTTCATTTTATTGAAACTTGTGAACGCTCTAACGCCAAAAGTTATTATCCAATCTTTCTGAAATTTATATGCATTATTTAAATTAGTGAAACAAAAAAGCCTATTGAATTTCAGCTATTTCCGTTAATAACTTCCAGAGCTATGGCCCTTGTTGAACCTTGTGAACGCACTAACATCAAAAGTTATCTGCCGTTCTGTATGAAATTTATATGTGTCATTTGAATTAGTAAAAAGAAGAATCTGATTGAATTTCAGCAAATTCTGTTTATTACGTCTAGAGTTATTCCCTATGTTTCACTTTGTTGAACCTTGTGAACGCTCTAACGCCAACAGTGATTGTCCAATCTTTGTGAAATTTATATGCATTATGTAAATTAGTGAAATGAAGAAACTTATTGAATTTCAGCAATTTCCGTTTATTATGTCTAGAGTTATGGCCCTTGTTTCACTTTGTTGAACCTTGTGAACGCTCTTAAAAGTTATCTGCCGATCTGTATGAAATTTTATGCATCATTTAGATTAGTGAAACCACGAAGCCTATTGAATTTCAGGAATTTACAATAATTACTTCTAGAGTTATGGCCCTTGTTTGACTTTGTTTAACCTTGTTAATGCTCGATTGATGCAAGTTATCATCTGATAGGTATGAAATTGATATGTATCATATGAATTTGTGAAACGGATGTCTATTGAATTTCAGCAATTTCTGTAAATTACTTCTAGAGTTATGACCCTTGTTTTACTTTGCGAACCTTGTGAATGTGCGAATGACAAAAGTTATATGATCTGTATGAAATTTACACCGGTATGCATTATTTAAACATGCATTATGCAAGAGCTAAATCTGCCTATTGCAGGTCTTTCTTTAGGTCTGAAATGTTATCTAAATTATTAATTAGACATTAATTAACTTATCCAGGCCATAATCAAATCTCAATGTCAACTCTAGCCTGTGATATTTACTGGATTAGGATCCCATTTGCTGCTCAACTTCCATTCATGATTTAATCATGAAATGGATAATCGAGACTGTTTTTTTTATCGTACTGACTTTAGTAATGATGATTGACGCTAGGTCGTAAATATTTAATTGCTAAAATCTTGGTTCAGAGTGGATCAATTTGACTTTACATTATCTAGTTTTTAACTATTATAGTGAGAACTGCCAGCTCTTCATCTAATCTCCCATAATATATTTTTAAATTATTAAAATTGTTACTTGAATTAGGTCCCAGGGCCTCTTATTTTATATATTTGGTTTAATTTATTAGGTGCCTGGGCCACTAGTTTATATAATTTATCATTGTGTATTTACAGCAAGAAAATATGAGTAGTAAGTGTGCTACTTGTTCAAGTGACTTTAATTTATTACGGTCGAAGTATAGTTGTACTGTATGTGGGGTGGTGGTCTGTAAATCATGTTCAAGTAAAGATTTGTTGGTTTTTATACCAGATGAAGATGAGTATGCTGAACCCGAACTAGTTATCATCAAAATAGTTGGGGTAGGTTATTTCCCTTGATAACCAAATTGGATGAAATGAAATGAATGGGGTTTAACGTCCTACTGTTATGCTCCGACTGGGCTAATGAAGACAGACATACGCCATTCAGTGTGCTATGATGGAAATTTTGCCCAGACAGCAGCGCTACAGTCTACTCTTATATCGATTTCCAACTGTCAAGGATCTTTTACGTGCACGCCAATGTGTACACTAGACCTCAGTTTTTTGTCCAATCCGAACCACTGGAAATCAGAATAAAAGTAGGCAATAGTGCTGCCTCCAGGGTCAAATTCATGTACCTTTGGCACAACGTTAAAGATGCCCTGACAGTTGGAATTCAAAATAAGAGTGGGCCATAGCACCACTGACAGGAAAAAATTCAATCATAGACTTTGACAGAATGTTATTAAAGATCCCATAAAAGTTGGAAGTCAAAATAAGTGTAAGGTATAACGAAGTACGAGAGACAAAATTCCCTTCATAGCACACTGCATGGCTTATAGGTGACGTTGGTGCAAGTGAACTGAAAACCGTATCTTAAGAATACAGTCATCATTTAGTGATAGATGAAGTAGGTTGGTGGCATATAGAAGCTGCAAATTGCAATGTGCTAATCCCGAGAAGTTGATATTTGAGAATTTATATTATTTATATTTATACGCCCGCATTTTCATATGGACATATATTGTCGTCGCCCCTGTTCGTCCATCCACAATTTGTTTGTGGACACTCTACAGGTCACAATTTTTATCCAATTTTGACGAAACTTAAAATATAGGTCTATCTCCCAAAGATCTAAGTTCCTTTCGATATTGGCATGTATCGGACCATAACTTCATGGATTATGGCCCCTGATTGTACGAAAAATCGTGTTTTTAGCTTGAGGTCCATCTAGAGGTCACAATTTTTATCCGATTTAAAAAAAAAAAGTTTTAGTATATCACTGTTACACCCTGATAATGGTTGAGTTTGAATTTAATGAAATTCGGACCAAAACTGCTGGAGAAAATGGCCGTCCCTTGTACGCAAATAGTGTAAAATATGGTATATCAAAGTTGTGGACCCTCTAGAGGTCACAATTTTCATCCAATTTGATGAAACTTGGAATCCATGTTTATATCCCAAAGACCTTGGTTCCTTTCGATATTCGCGCATATCGGATCGTAACTTCCTGAATTCGACTTTCGCAAAAATTGACGGACATAATGGTCGCCCCTCGAAAGCAAATAGTGTAAAAATAAGGTATATCAAGGTTTGATAATCACACATGTCCAAATGTAACTTCTTGGATTATGGCCCCTGATTGGTCGAAAAATTACATTTTTAGCTTGTGGATTCTCTAGATGTCACAATTTTTTTTTTTCCGATTTTAAAAACCGTTCAGATATATTACCATTCCACAATAATGAAGGTTGAATTGGAATTTCGAGAAAAACGAGAAATAAAACTTCCAACAAAATGGCCGCTCTTTGTACGCAAATTGTGTATAAGCATGTAATTCAAAGGTTATGGACCCTCGAGAGGTCACAATGTTTATGCGATTTTGATGAAACTTAAAACATATCTTTATATTCCAAAAGTCTCAGTCCCTTGCAAAATGTGGGCGTATCCTGTGTGGCTGCCGCAGGTTTACTTTTACAGATCATACTTTTGCATTAGATGTCAAGGGCCAGGACCAGGAACTGATCCCCAACTACTACTCAATTTGTTCTTGGGAATGACGCTCATCAAATAAAAGACTAAGTCTCTGCTAATTCATCTACGATCAACTCTGCATGTTTGTATCTTGCACAATTGTGCATCAATTGAAGCACTTAATTTTTGATATTACATCACAAATTGTGACAATTCCAAGATGGTTGCGATGTCGTTATAATCGGTTCCTAGTGCTTAGTACACTTGTACATGTCATTTTGAGACTAGCTCGTGGTTATTTGTTTCTATGATCATTAATTGTATTACAGTGTCCCGCTGTTGAACCAGAAGTCAGTCTTCAACTGAGAGTTTGTGGTACCTGTCGTGATCTGTTGGAGACCAAACAGGTAGCCAGATATCAGCAAACTGAAATAACAACGACAGACAACGATTTTCTTTCAAAGTTGCTCATATTACACGAGAAATTTCATGGTGTGGAAGAAAAGATTAATGTTCATTTACCAGAGGTTCACTTCTCAATTTGACATATTTTTTTGTTTTGTTGCACCAGGAAATTGATCTCTAAGGACATTTTTTAAGTGTTCATTATGTTAGACACAAAATAACCAAAGTTTATAATTCAACAAAGTATAATCTTTTGAGACTTATCACATAATCAATTGTCCCCTGTCATCCGTCACAATTTGTTTGGACACAATAACTCTTTTTCTAATTGAGGTAGAATGTTCAAACTTGGTGTAGGCATTCTCTAGGTGAATGCCATGATGGAGTTCGAAGACATAAGCAACTTGAATGGTTGATACTTTGGGACATGATAACTTTGGTTCTAATTTAAGTGAGAATGATGAAACTTGGTGTGTAGTTTTATCACATTATATTAATACTTTGACTAAGTTCAGGGTATGCACAGCGATAAGCAATTTGATTGGTCAAGACTTTGGAACTCGACAGCTTTTGATTCAAGTTAAGTGATTGTGGCGAAACCTCATTTATAGTTTCATTATATCAATACCTTATCAAAGTTTGATGCTGAGCATTTTCTGCTTAGGCAAAGTAAAGACTTCAGTCTGATTTGTCAAGACTTTGGAACACAATAACTCTCCTTCTAATTGAGGTAGAATGTCAAACTTGGCATAGGTGTCATTACATGTATATCAACAACTGCTAAAGACCCCTACGGGCATGCGAATTATTGAAATAAAATTGAACCGTATGTTTTTCCCAAAATGACCTAGCACTGTTACCCAGGTATCATTTATTCTTGTGTATCTAGCACTAATTTCTTTCACATTAATTTATATCAATGTGCAATGTTTTTTATTGTAATTTGTAATTTCAGTATGAATTGATAGTATCATCACTGAACAATAACAGTCGAGGAGGCGGAGGTCAAAATGGGAAAAGTAACATGAAAACATTAGCCAAGGCTCAGGTAATGCTCCATATTGACACTTCTCGACCCCAGTGTTGGTCCAGAAAGTTTATTACGATTTTCTGGTGTGCCCCCCCCCCCATTAACAGTGCAGTCGTACATATAGGACAAAAAACTGAGGTCCCATGTACACTTAAAGGGCTAATCCCGATAATGTTTTGGAGAAAAAAACTGTTTAATTTTGTTTTAAAATCCCTTAAAATCCTCTACCTAAGGGCCGAGCAACTAACTCAATATATGTGATAAGTTTTCAAATAACTGAAACCCGTCAGTCTCAATCTGGAAATGGAGACCGGTGTCCCAAGCTGTATTATTCGGTGTCTAGATAAAAACAGACATTTTTTGTATAAAAATAATGTGAAGGTGAAATTTACCTTTCATTATCAAGTACAGCATTTGGGTCATTCACTGTATAGACCTCTCAATGAATGGGAATCGATTATCAGGTCTCCCAACGAAAAAATTGACCCGAAACCTTAAAAGGGTTACGTGTCCGGATAAGCAGTTTTGACGGTCACGTCCAAACGACTCAATATTTTGAGCTGAAATTTTGAGATACGGTCAATACACCATTCCTCTATATTTTGGCGTTTAAATTTCATACATACTCAGACTTTTATTTTTGAGACTCTGTTCAAATAAGGGATAGTCCCTTTAAGAAAACTCTTAACAGTTGGAATTCGATATTAGAGTAGGACATAGCGCCACCGTCCAGGAAAAATTCCCTCATAGCACACTGTATGTGTTACGATGTGTCATGCATTCCTACTCCAGCCAAGCCCTGTGGTTAGTTCATAATTAGAGTCTTGTAAATCAAGACTAAGGAGTGTGTTGCTATTCGTTTCAGTTGATAAATTGTATGTTTGAAAACTATCTTTTCTCTCTCTAGGGTATTTTTATAATCTTATATACTTCATTATTGTTAATCCTGTATGTAATTGAAAAACGTACATATCATGTTAAGTGAATGGATCCAGAAACTAGCCGTAAGTGTCCACTGCACTGTCAATCAAAATTGAAAAAGAAACAATCAGGATTATAACCAAGAGAAAACATTGTGTAATACTAGTACAAGTCATGATCTGCTCTATGCCACATGGAATATGAATGTGTAAAAGGCAGTAAGTTGCAAAATGGTCAAGAGTTAAAATTTAATAAAAACCACAATAAAAGGGCGATAATCCAAATAATACGCCAAAAGAGGTTACATGTAAAGGCCTTTCTTTGATCAGTGATAGAAAATTTAGCCGTAAAGCGCTGTACACCATGCAATTGGTCACGTGGGAAACGGTCACTTGTGGATGTTAGTTTTTGCAGTAATGTATGACTGTAACAACACATTTTCTGAGCATAATATCATTATCTAGATGTGTTGGAATGTGTTAACAATAACACTATGACAAAAGTATAAGATTTTTGATGCATAATCCATCAAATAGGTGTATGTCAAGTGGCAGGAAACCATATTGTTTTTCTGCTCAGCACCGCAAGTCTTTTATACACATTATGCATATTTATGATGTCTCCAACGTGGTTCTGCATGGTCCTGCGGTGTTTCATTTGTGAAATAGTGAGAAATGGGGTTTAACGTCCACTCGACACAAACTAGGTCATTACTGGACTCAGTTGTGAAAGAAGTAAACAGCAGTAGGGATTTAAATTATCTTTATTCCTTTCTTCAAATTGTACATGGTGATAAATATGAAGGCAAACATTGTACATGTAGTTGAGATCTTTGAAGCAGAGTTAGTGACAGGCATAGAGTAATTAGTAATGTCCACCTTGAATATGTCAAGAACATAATAAGGGCATGGTCTGTCTTAAGGGAGATAACTCTACTTTTGTATCATGAATGTAATGTGCTATTGTAGTTGCGCTTTGTTTCCTGGCTAATAAAATGATGTTTGAAAAATATCTTGTCTCTCTCTCTCTCTCTCTCTTCAGGATCTGATGGCGATGCTGCTATACACATCATCTGAAATGAAGGAATAGAACCCAAACCCTGGCCTTTACAGAGTCAGCAAGCAAGACTCAACCCAATCAAAACTTAAAATGAACCTCACGGTTCGATTCCATGCCTGGAGTCATGGGTTCGATTCCCGACAGGAGCATTGTGTCACATGCATAATGTTTTTATCTTGCGTATTACAGGAAGATCTGGCTGATTATCTGACCGAACATGTGACATCCACACAGCAGTTAAAAAGACTTAAACCAGAAACCAACACACAGTCCAACATGTTTAAATGTTATATTAAGGTTTGTTTTAGTTTGGGGTTTGGGTGACCAAATGGTTAATACATCCGCTTTGGATCATAAGGTCTGTGGTTTCGATTCCCCGTTTGTATGTGACAAGGAGTAGGGTCGCCTATCCAAAACCATGTTTTTTCTCCAGGCCCTTCTGTTTCCTCCCACTGCTAAAGATTCCTAAGCGCAAGCGAATTATTGAAATAAAATTGCACCATATGCATGGGTCAAAAGGAACTGTTTTGATTTTTCAAGCCTGGATCCCGGGACTGACAAAGATAGCGTTTGATTAATTTACATATATTTAATTTCTGGACCACTGTTCAAAAATTAATCATTATACATCAATAATCAAATGTTTTATTTTACCAGTAATCGAGAAATTAAACGCTTGTAAATTGGACACTCATTATCAAAATTGAATGGTCAACTTTAAACTGGACAAATTAGATGATTTTTGGTGATTTTGAGGAATTTTTAAAGTTACAATTTCATATTTTAAAATGTATTAAAATAAAGCCCTTAAATAGATGGTATCCATAAACAGTCCTACCTTGTTAAAGAATAATCCTATTAATCCTATAATTCACTATTGCCAGTTGAGAAATTGGCAAAAATATCATTTTCATATTCAAATTCAAACGTTTGAAGATAGCTACTCCATGGTGGAGAATAGAAAACAAGGGAGGTAATTGTGTTATTATTTCCGATGTAAATGAGTTTTAAGTGTGAGAATGACAGCTATGATCGTATAATAGTGAGTTGACAACCTATTGAGCAAAAGACATAGAAATAATTATGGTTTGACTTTCTTAGAAAATATGAAATTGTAACTTTAAACAAAGATTTGATATTGAATGAATGTGAAAGAAATTAATGTTAATTACACAAGATTAAATGATACCCAGGTTACAGTGTATGTACAGGTTTTAACCTAAAAGAACCCTTGGCATTTGGAATTTGATACGCCACTACCAGGGCAAAATACACCTTCCTAGGCATTGTACATCAGATCTTAGAAAAGAAAATTACCACATCTTAGTCTCAAACTGACTGAAGTATGTCAAAATATTAACCATTTTGCATTCCATTTACTATTATATTGTTTTGAAAGTGCTAAGTTTGATTGTACAAGATATTAATATTCATTCAATAGGTGATAAATTTCATGTTAAAATTTATGTTATGGCCCACACATAAAAACTGAAAGAATAATTTGTAAGCCAGTTTTCCATGTACGTGTTGTCGCAGTGTTTCAGCACACGTTTTCAACAGTAATATGGACACAGTACCATTACTTTTGCATTAGTCCGACTTTTTCCCAGGCGATAACATGTAGAAATGCCCAAGAAAAAGTACACCATGAACTGAAATCAGGTCTTTCATTAAATTTTGTTTTCATGTTTTTTTTTTTCAGAGTAAATGTGACTATTATATGGAGAATATGTCACGATTTCGGCGATTGGGTAAACAACTGAGTCAGACGTCACCGCCAGAAGTCCTGGAGTTTATACAAAGAATTATGAACAAGGATGTACGTATTCTCAATGCTGTTTCTGTAGGTCCATCTGCCAAACTACAATTGTTCAAAATAACTCTCTTTTAGTTAATGAAATGAAATGAAATGTGGTTTAATGTCCCACTGTTCTGCTCCTACTGGGCTAATGAAGACGGGCATACACCATACATTGTGCTATGAGGGAAATTTTGCCAGTCAGTGGCACTATGGTCTACTCTTATATCGAATTCCAACTGCCAAGGGATCTTTTACGTGCACGGCAATGTATACACAAGACCTCGGTTTTTCATCCCATCTGAACGACTAGACAGCTGTCCTTGTCAGGCCCTCCTCCCTGCATCACTGTCAAGGGGAAACCATTACACTCGCCCTGTATGTTCAGGAACCGTCCTATTGAATCCTTGTCAAAAAAATTTTACTACGCAACTTTTTACTGCTAAACGGTCGCGTGTCAGTCCCTGTGAACGCCTGAACAATGTAAATGAACACCTTAGTGAGAAAATAACACCTTGCTTACCTCGCTAAAACCAGTATAAGCGACACAACACGGTGTTAAAAAATATGTCCTCGTCTGCTAAACAACTTGACCAATGCCATTGAAATCTAAATATAGGGCAAAACACAAATGTACGTAATTCGGCCATATAAGATGAAACAAAATTTAGGTAAGCCTGGGGGGAAAAAAATTGAAATCTTTGAAAAGTTGAGAATCTTCAGTCATTTATTGCTTTGCCTAGCCCAATTACAATAATTTACAATGAAATTTTTTCAAAAATCCCAATTTTGGAGTTGGAGCTTAATAACTGTGCAATAATAACTAGACATTTTCAGTGTTATTGCACACTTTTGCTGGATTACGCCAGATTTAGTAGAACTAATATAGACAAGTGGTGTGGGTTTTCTGTGCAATAATAACAAGCATGTTGAGCAGGTGACAATATTACAAGTCATATATAGCACACCTCATTCATTAACAGGTTTAACACCTCGACCTCAGGTCATGTCAAGTAGTGTTTATTTATAGTCGATAAAAACAACAGTACAACATCGCTCTAGTGAGCTTTTAAAATCGACTTAAACCTGTTAACTCTTGAAAGCAGTGCTATAAATATAACATAAGATACACGTTGTTTATTGTGTAGTGTATATTTCAGTCTATTATCAGTGTATATAAGATATGTGTTGTTTGTGTATATTTCAGTGTATTATCAGTGTATATAAGATAGGTGTTCTTTGTGTATATTTCAGTCTATTATCAGTGTGTATAAGATAGGTTTGTGTATATTTCAGTCTATTATCAGTGTATATAAGATACACATGTTGCTTGTGTTTATTTCCCTCTGTTTTCAGTGTATATAAGATATGTGTTGTTTGTGTATATTTCAGTCTATTATCAGTGTATGTAAGATGTGTGTTGTTTGTGTATATTTCAGTCTATTATCAGTGGCCATGTGTATATAAGACAACTGATATATGAAACTATTAATTTGTGTGGTAAATATCATCTAGATGAACTTCTACCAAAATTATTAATGGTTGCAGAAGAGGTAATTACATATATTTGATTGAATTTCTCCCATAGTAAATAAAATGAAATGAAATGAAATGGGGTTTAACTCTGTTGAACATTCTACTATTCTGGGCTAATGAAAATGGGTATATGCCAAGCAGTGTGCTATGAGGGGAATTTTCCCCAGACAGTGGCAATACGGCCTCTTCGCAATTTCGAATTACAGCCATCAAGGGTCAGTTTTCCATCCCATCTGAATCACTTGCACTATTCCTTGTCTGCACCACTGACAAGGAGAAACCATGCCGGAAAAACCCAAGGTACTTTCTCGGACAACACCTTGAAGTAACCCAGGACCTCCTGATCAGCTAGTCAGGGTCTTACTCTCTGAGCCAACCCAGAGTAACGAGTCATAAATATAGTAAATGGTCATAAATATAGTAAATAGTCATAACCATGGTAATTAGTCATAAATATAGTAAATATTGATTGGTAATTAGTTATAAACGTGTTAATTAGTCATAAATATTGTAATTAGCTAGTATAATATCATTTATTGCGAAGGGTATTAAACACAATTTCTCTCCCTACTATCAAAGATTTATATTTTAATAAGGTTCTCCATAGAACAAAATAAAATGGGTTTTTTAAACGCCATTTTATTTTATCCTAACTATTAGTTTAGTGTGTGTGTTGGAAGGGAAAGACACTCTGAAAGTAGTTATAGCCATACGTAATAAATTTGTACATAAAACCTTTTATAGAGAATAGAAAAAGATGTTTCATTATGTTTACGACTGGATGGTGAAGACTATGACCAACATGAAGATTTAGTTCAAGAAATGATCAAGTCACAAATGAAGGTAAGGGAGAGATGGAACTTGATGTATAGTTTTATTACCTCAAAACCAATGCTGGATTTACCTATATCATATTTTTGACAGTCACAAGTCTAGCTTACACACCCTGTAGTCTTAAACATCCATCATCATCCTCTGATTGCTCAAATGTGTTTAAAACTGTACATGGTGTTGGGTGGCCAAATGGTTAATAGCATGCCCGTTCGATTGGAAAATCTGTCATTGGGTCAAGTGACGAAGTTTTCATTCCCTGCTTCTACGTGACAAGGAGTAGAGTTGCCTGTCCAACCTCGTGGGTTTTCTCCGGGTCCTCAGTTTTTCTCCCACTGCTAAAGACCCCTACACGCTAGTGAATTATTGAAATAAAATTGAACCATATGTTACTTCCAAAATGAGCTAGTCTAGTTTGTGTCGCTAGTCTAGTTTCTATCTCTATCCTAAAACAAGACTTCCGGTAGTCCGGGGGATTGGGAGGGGGGGGGGGACCTCATAATGTGAATGGACAAGAGCCTCTCTAAATCCAGCACAGATCAAAACCTGGACTATGGAAATTAAAGCTCACCGGAAAAGCTTCATAAATATTTTAGATAATGCAAGCAACTATGTCAACATATCCTTTCCATAACACAATCCCGAATGTCAATCTTACCTGCCATCGGTAAATTTCAACGTTAGCGACTTCTGCCGTTCCATCAGTACAAAACTGTGACGTCATTTTAGTCTTCTGTGCATAGAATTAATAGACTAGAATATGAGCAGAAGGACTAAAATGACGTCATGGTTGTTTTATTGGCAGAAATTTATGACCACTACTCTCTCTCTCTCTCTCTCTCTCTCTCTCTCTCTCACACTCCCTCCCTCCTTGCTCACTTTTGTATAGGTTTTCTCTGATTTTTATTCTTCCAGCATCATAAACTAATTCGAACATCTAGAACTATGGAGAAGAAACAAGGTGCGGTCCATGTGAAATCTATCATGTTATTGAGATGTGTCGAGGTTTTAAAACAGATGCTCTTACAGCTTCAGCTTAAAACAACCAATAAAAGTTTCTCAGAAACTAAAGCATCCATTAACAACGCAATAGAAAAAATAGAATCCATTCCTTGCAGATAATTGTCGTCCAATCAAAATCAACGTACTACTATCCAACTACATATCTTTTGTTTTGGCCTGATCATCTAGGGGTTGGTTTAACTCTGAATGTATTTAAAACAATAACAACTTATCCTTGAAAAATGTTAATGATGACCATATTGTTTACTAAACTATAACTCCATTAAGGGATCAAAAAAAAAATCAGCATACTGTACTTACTATATTTTAGGTTAGGAACATGGAATGAATAATTTGTAAATATAACAATATTGTTTCATCCATCATATTACTCTGCTTCTTGTCTATGAATTTGAAAATAATAATTGGTCAATGACATAATATGGTCGCAACGACAATATTGCTACAGTATTCCTTCCTGAGTTATCCCCCCTTTTAAGACCCATTCATTGCAGATATTTGTCTCAAGTACAATATGTATCTATGTTTGTTGTATATATTATTGTGTTCATTCAGTTATTGTTCTAACTAATAGTCTTCAAATCAAAGTCTTGGTCTGTCATTGAGTCAACTGGCGTGGTTTTGATTCCCCGGTTTTATGTGACAAGGAGTAGGGTCGCCTTTCCAATTTCCTGGGTTTTCTCTAGGTCCTCCGGTTTCCTCCCACTGCTAAAGACCCCTACGTGTGCAAGCGAATTATTAAAATAAAATTGAACCATGTATTAGTCCCGTAATAACCTAGTTTGTGTCGAGTGGATGTTAAACCCCATCTCTCTCTCTCTCTCAATCCCCAAAATAGTGACAGTTGGATGATAAGAGGGATTACGGGCTACAATGAATGCACCGATTGCATAAAAAATTGCTCAAGCAACCATGACAGCTGAAACATATTCCTTGTGTTTAATAACATCATGATTCTACTCACACCACCTCTGTTGTTAGGAATGACAGAACTGAATTTCACTTCACTTGATTGCAATTCTGTCCCAATGTATTCATTCCTGAGTTATCCCCCCTTTTCCGAACCCATTCAGATGTATCTTTGAGTTTATTGTGTTCATTCAATTATTGTGCTGCTTTAATTATTGAGTTAGTTTTGATTTCAAATACTAATATCATTATAATTTTAATTGTAAAAATGTAATTATGTTTAATTAATTTTAGATATTGTGATATGTTTATATATTAGCAGCTAAGATCATTATAATTTTAATTGTAAAAATGTAATTGTGTTTAATTAATTTTAGATATTGTGATATGTTAATATATTAGCAGCTAGGATACTTACCTCGAACAAACAATAAGAGTCTCTCACAAACTATATCATCCATAAAGACCTGAATTCAAACGGTAGAAGTCATTCAAATGAAACTCATTAGGGGTGCTCGATTGCAATCAAGTGATACAGAATTCAACCCAGTCACAGTTCTGCCAGCCCCGACAGCTGAGTTAGTGTGAGTAGAATTGTGACATATTTTAAGTAAGAAATATGTTTCAGCAGTCATGATTGGTTGAGATATTTTTTTATGCAGTCGGCACTCGGCACATGCGTTGTATTCCGAAATTCTACTTTTCATTCGATTGACACTATTTTTGGAATTGAGAGAATTTAATTCAGGAACGTTCGATCGAGTACCCCTATTGTATTAGTTCCTGAGTTATCTCCCCTTTTCCAAACTCTTCCTTGAAGATAATGGTATTAAGTATATTTGTGTTTGTTGTATAATTAATGTGTTCATTCAATTATTGTGCTAAATAATTACATACAGACCTTACACAATCTGATTAAAACACAGATCCTATTTCGTTTCATTTTTTATAGTTCAAAATTTCGTTTTACTTGTCTTTACTACACTAGTAGTAGGATCTGGAAGAGTTGTTATATAACCCGTAAGGATTAACCAATGAAACCGAACTGTGGGTATCCCAGTAGAAACATCAACGCTGAATAGTAAATCAAAAGTCGTATGACCCCTGACACAACCTTCCACTACTACTGGTGAGATCTTTATGTAGCGGAGGCTATCGAGAGTATAAAATAAAATAAAAAATGAAATATAGATCTGTATTTTAATCAGATTGGAACTTACGCCATCTGTCTACAATTAGTTCCGCTTGTGAACAGAAATGAAGCTTGCTGGACGACATTCTAATTCCTAAATCAACAATTTTAGTCGAAAACACTAAGGATACTTAAAGAATTTTAAAAAGTATTTAAAATGCCTCCATATAATAATAAAATAGAAAAGGTTTATTCAGTGTTTCTGTGTATGACAGATGTGGAAGGGGTTAGAACCCTATTACAAATTAGTGGTCACCCAAAATAGTATACATATTTTAGAATATGGCAGCCATTCAGGCCAGAGATCTTTTCTTAAAGTAGATAGTTCTCTGTGTAGAGAATGAAAGAACAATTGAGTTAGTTTTGATTTCAAATATTAAGATTATTGTTACCTTAATTTTTAATATAATGTATTTTTTTGCAGCCAATATACACATCTCAAACAGCCAATAAAAGTTTCTCCGAAACTAAATTCTTCATGACTACTGGAATAGTAAAAATAGAATTCTATCCTTGCAGATAATTGTATTCAAAATCATTTTAGATTTATAAATAATTGTGTTTATTCCAATTATTTTAAATTGTTGAGTTTAACTTTGATTTCACATATTAGAATAATTATAATATTAATTGTAATAATTAGGTGTTCATTTTAATTGATTTATCATTATAATATTAATTGCAAAAATATAATTTTGTTCATTTTAATTTTAAAAATGGTGATATTTTTTAGCAGCCAAGCCCTGTTTTAGGGGTATTTTATAACTCCCAAACCTCTGTATGTAAGTTGACATCAGGCCACACCCCTCTTTACTATTAATTTAATTCATTTAAGAATTGTTTGCTCCCTTTTAGAGTTTAAATGGTCAGATGAACCCAAGAAAACTTTTTGTGGGTCAAATTATAGTTGACCTAATTATTCTCAAAGGATTATATTTTTATCATTGATCAAATATTTACATCTACCTGATATGTTATTTTCATTTCTTGTTTTGAAACTTTAACCAAAGAACATATTTGTACAATGAAATATTTCAATAATAAATACATGTACTTATTTCTTATTCCAATAGGGGTGTTGGGATGCTGAACGGTTAGCATGTGTGCACTGTATCATAATGTCTGTCATTGAGTCAACTGGCATGGTTTCGATTCCCCGGTTGTACCTGACGTCGCCTGTCCAATCTTGTGGTGATCATTTCTGGGTCCCCCATTTTCCTCCCACTGCTAAAGACCTCTAGGCTCAAGCAAATTATTGAAATAAAATTGAACCATATGTTAGTCTCGAAATGACCTAGTTTATGTGAGTGGAGTTAACACCCCCCTCTCTCTCTCTCATTTGTTATCTAATTTTATTAAGATGGCACAGTTGAGAGTTGAGGAAGTTTCTGTCAATCCAGGACGTTCTGGAGTAGATAAATGATACTGGACAATCATACATTCCTTTACATGATGAGATAAATGTACTGCCTTGAAAAAGTGATGTTCATGAGAAGTCATTTAGCCCTGTGTGGTCCTTGGACAAAATAAAAAACCTACCCAAGATTTTGGGTAAGCATTGTCTGAGATTCAGAATGGAATTTTTTTTTTTTTTTTTTTGGTATGGCTAAACAAGATTTTTTTATTTAGATATTCACTGTTATATTTAAGGTGTATAATTATTGAATTAATAGTTTGTATATAAGGAAATATTTTTGATATATTTATTTTTTGATTTTTATCTTATGTGTAAGATTGTCAACTGTCTCTTTGTGATAATTTTTGTACAACTTTCATTTTTTAAAAAAAAAAAATCTTTTTATAACAATTATAATAAATGTATAGAATTATAATAAAGACAAAAAAATATATTCAAAATGTAGTGCAAATCTGATTTTTCCTCAATTCAGATTGGTTAATTTCCAGAATTCAGATTTCCTCAGTTCAGATTGGTTGATTACCTGAATTCAGATTGATTGATTTCCTCAATTCAGATTGTTCAGAAAGTGGGTTAATGACTAGATTTATTTGTTAAGGCCAACTCAATTTTCGCTGAGATGTAAAAAAGGTTAGGGCACCTGATTGGTTGGCGAGAGGGTTAGGTCAAAGTGTTAGGGCTACGGTTTGGATTAGTGGTAGCCATGTTTACATCCCGTGACAAACGTGAAGTTGATCTTGTCAAATAGGTTTATCCTGGTTTCATGGACAATAACTTGAATAACCCCCTCTGCTGAGTCTGTTTTTTTAGCAAGGCAAATTTCCTATTTAGTGTACCGTACGTGTAAATGGGTAGGGCCTACTATATTAATAGTACTCGAAAGTGTAAAATGAGTAAAAGGCACCAATTATCATTATGTCCGGACCAAGTTGTGTTATTAAATTACGTACCGGTACGTCCGATGTAAGCAATGCACTTGTCAAATGCAGACATAAACTGCACGTGGACTGGGAGGTCGGTCATCTTGCACAGGTTAAAAGAATGTTTTTGCGCTGTAATACAGATTGTAATTTTAATTGCCTAAAAACGGGTGGCGGATGCAATCAAAACAATAAATGGCTACCCAAACTAAATCAACCGTCATAATTGTTTTCGTTGGCGTACCTGGCACGGTTTCGAGACAGGTTTAAGACACTGGGCGTATTCTATTCTAAAAGGTACCAGTCAACTCCCATCATCATAAACTGCCCAAAACGGGATATGAGATATTTAAATAAGCCTATTTGATAGTGGATGGGATCAGGATCCTTCAGCTATTATTATAATTTCAGTACCCCCTGCAGAATTGTTTTTATTTGCATTTTAGATGTTGTGAATTTCGACCGTGTTTCTACCGTCATTCTGACGGACATAATCTGACGGACACGACTCCCTTTTTTATGTTTTATGGGTATCACTATGATTTCAAAGGATTGAAATATCACATGTGGCCTAATGGACAGTTATAGAGATGAGATTGTGATATTCTTGGACTAAAACGACATTGCATTGATAGTCAGTGTTATGTTTCTACTGTCATTTCTGACGGACATTAAAAATGACAATAGAAACAAGCGGTTTCTATCATCATTTCTGACAGACACTGAAAAAGTTGCACTGCACAACTTACAAAAGTGTAGAAAAATACTAAATGCATTACATATAAACAATCTAGGTGATTTGAACACCCCTCCCCCCATCATGTCCACATAAAATCCATACTCCCTTGACCCCCCCCCCCCCTCCCCCCCCCCCCCTGTCCGACGGACAACTGAACCTGGTAAAAGTTGTGTGCAGATCACGTGTTTTTTTTTCATGTGTTTACAAAGCCTTTTTAAGTTGTCAACTTCAAGAAAAAAATGTCTGCAGGTGGTATAGAGTTAAGAGACAAGGCATATTCATCATTAAAGTCATCATTTAAGTGCATAAAAATGCTGTTTACATTTATATAATGAACTATTTTAACAGCTTTTTAAAAGTTCTTCAAAAAGCAACACAACTTGTCTGCCACTAAACACTGTTTCTGGCGCATGAAGTTTTTTAATAATGTTTTTATGGTCCACTAAAGCTCGTTCAGGTATCTGCTTCCTTTTTTTCAAGACAGGATCTTTTGTGTTCTCCAGAAATTCTACACATGGAAGGGATTCTTCAGAAATAGCTGTGACCTAAAAAAAAACAATTTAAAACTAGAAGTGATGTAACTCTATTATTTAAAAATAAATAAAACCAAGTACGAACGTTCCAAACCATTAGACAAAATTCGAAATCCTAAAAAACGTTATCGGCAAAATCGTGACAGTAAATGGACTGTCTATCAAATACATGATAAACAGTGGTAACAGGTGTCCAGATGCATGCGAAACAAGTTTATCAGACAGACAGATGCACAGCTAGACAACAGACCAAATCAATATGTCACCCATTAAAATTTGGGAGTCAAAGTGAACTTAAAACTTCCTGAACTGAGAATTATAATAATTGAATCAATCAGTTTTTGAAAGAGCTATAGATACAGCTTAAGAAATTGCAACAAATATTCTACCTCTCCAACATACTGCAAAGTGTTTTTCTTCATCTGGTATTGGCATAGCAGGTACTCTCCCATGGTGAACGACATTTCCTGCATTACTGACCCAACCACGTCTTTGTCATTCGTGTTGTTTGTTTCCAACTGCAAAAAAGTGAACAAATCTGAAGAAGATCCCTTGGAAGCACAGAATGCACCCAACAAAATGACAATAGCAGGCCCAGTTTGATCAGTCTGCTCATAAAGCTTTTTAACAATCTTTACTCATTACCCCGTAACGCAACATTTTTGCGTCTTGCAGCAGACAACTTTAAAAAAAACATTGTGGCAAAAGGAGAAATTGCTTGACAAAAGCAATTTTTATCATTTGCCACAATGCTTTTCTAATTATCAATTTACATGTATATTATTATTAAAAGCAGAACTGAAAGTTTTTTCACTTTTTTTTAAAAGCCTTTTTTAAAATTGTCTGACTGCAAGATTGAACATTTCTGAAAATTCTAATAGTGCACTCACTATAGATTATAACTTTTCACCTTTGTGAAAGTAACAAACTTATTTAAGAGCATTTCCAATTATGATCAAGTATTTAGATAAATTTAACAATAGCATGAGTAGTACTAACTTAAAGAAGAAGTATTTGCAACATGGTTTGAAATAGGAACAGATGAAGTATTATATAACATTTTCAAAATGAATGGAACAAAGGTAAAACTATACAGCTGAACAACGCTATTTCGAAGCCACTGGGAATGCGATTTTATGAATAAAACTTTAATTCTGGACTGGAACACCCCCTCCCCACCCCCCAAAAATAAAAACTTTGAAATATATATATGAAATAGGTATCAACAATCTGAATTTTAGTTAAAACATGAAGTCTTTAATTTGGGACCAAATATTTAACTCTAATA